CCTCTGAAAGGTACACAATGTTGACTTCATTTCGATTAAAACCCCAACCTTGGAACATCCGTTGGATCAACAGTAAAGGAAGTTGAAACATGAAAAGATGTTGATTTGGGACATTTTATTCTGAGATTTATCTCCGAATAAAAATTGGACAAACGACTGGCTTTGCTTGATTGCATCACATTTGCATCCTTCGACTGAGGCAGTGGTCATAACTCCAACAAACACATCCAATAAAAATAATAAATGCCTCTGGAGGAGTGAGGTTTAATAATCCTAGCCCAAAACAACCAACGGAGATAGAGTCAATAACAAGTATCAGACTTTATCTTTGCACCTTAATCCTAACGATCCCCAACCAGTCAAACTCCAACACCAAGGTTGGTTGCAATCTGGTATACTGACTGTGTTTTACGTAGGATTAGGCATATCACAAGTAAATGGATTCCAAACGTTTATGTGCACAGTTTACTATGTGGTGTTGAGATTTGCAAGGATGTGGAAGGTTGCCGGTCAATCACTCAAGGGAGTTAGGGTTAATGGACACATTTAGTTCGTCTGAAGAAAAATGAGGTAAATAAATGCAAATATTAACCTTTCTTCCTCTTTTGCTTGAAATTTAGGCTTTGGAAGATTTATGGTTTTTAGGAAGTTTTTTGGAAACACAGGATTGCCTTTCTGCTGGGTGCGACTAATAAACGAGGATGAAGGACTGAGAGTCAGGAGCCAGGGTAATTTCTCTCACGGTATTGATTTGTACTGCTGTGGGCAAAGTTGGGACAGGGGACCGTGTGGCAACCTTACATACCTAGTGTGGACCCATGAATAAAAGAGGCCCTGCATAATCAACCTTGTGTGGACGAAGCCAGGTCCTCGCATGGTTACCCCCATTCTCAAAAATAGTTTCAGAGGCATTTGGGGGTTAGGGTTACGCCCAGCAAAAGGAAGAGGAACAGCGAAGGAAACCGCCATCAAAAAAACAGCTCAAAAGGGTGTTTGCAGTGCAAGAAAAGTGAGTCTTTTCACAGACTTTTCTTTACACGAGAACAAAGGAATGTCAGCACTAGGCAGGTGATGTGAACGCGACACTGTGTGCAACCTGTTGGGATGGGTCTTCATACACTCTGCCTGATTTTACCTTAAAGTAGTTAGGGTTCCATGCGTGGAAGTGGCCGGTGAAATGCAACGGCTCGTTACCCTCCTGGATCTTGATCAGTGACGTGGCATCCACATCCCGGCCACTGGGATCAGATAAAATGTATTCCTGATTGACAGAAGGGGAAAGAGCACACAAATAAGTAGATTCTTTGGATTTAAAAATACCGTGGAGTGCTGAAACACTGGAGGCAAGACACATGCTTGAAGCCGCAGACAAGTTTGACAGTAGTGTACAGAACTATCGCAGCTTAGTGGTTGGGATATCAATTACAGTGGCAGTTGGTTATCATGCCAAACTGATCAATGCGATCTTGCTTTTTCTCCTCTGCACCATCAAATTTGTCTGTTCAGACAAATGAGGATGGGTTACCAGACTCACCTTGGCAGTATTGATGGCTTCTTTCTTCTCCACCTCATTGGCGCCTGACCCAATCCATACAAACACCTGGATGGCACAGCAGAAAGAAAAAGTGTAATTGGAATGTCAAATTTTGGGGGGGGGTGGGAGGAGAGATGGCCAGAACGCTTTTAAGGGGGGGACTGAAAAACTACTGATAGTGGAAGCAGTCAATTCAAAGGTTTTTTTGGACAAATTGGTAATTTTCATCCATTTTCATTATTTTGTTATTTTTTTTCTATTTTTTCCCCACTTTACTTTTCTTTTTTTTCCAGGGACGGGGGGACATGTTGGGAGACCCATGCTCCCAATTTGTTCACTCCTGGAATCAACATCAAAACCAGAATATAACCGGAAATGGAAAAACAAGGAAAGTTCACAATAAAATAGGTTTACGGATCAGAATTTGTGATACAACTGTTTAGATGATGGGCACAAACATGGGCAAGCTTCAAAATCATTCCGTTTCTTCCACAGCTCATTTTTCACATAGCAAATAATTTCTTTTCTTCAACTGCTGCTTGTTAATCCATGGGCAGGGAGATGATCTCCCACCCGGTTCTGAGTTGTCTCTCATACCGTGTGGTAGGCATCCAGCAGCATGACGTCATCCTGCACCATGTCTTCTTGCGTGAACTCATGGATCTCCTCCACCATGAAGTTGCCAGAAGCGTTGGAGCATTGGAACAAGCGCGGGGGAAAGTCGGGCACCTCAGTCTGCAAGGCAACAATGAAATCGATACAGGTCATTCAGTATGACAGAGTCCTGAGAAATAGGCCTCCAGGCAACTTTTTCGAGCAATTTAGCTGCGAATATTGCGTGCTTTGTGAAGGGTTAAAAAATGCGAAGGGTTCCTACTGATATACACCGGATTACAGGATTTATTTAAAGTCCTGACAACGCACAACTTATTTCTGATTCAGTACTGTCACAAGAGTACTGAAGGAAAACATCTTGTGTTTTGTTAAAGTTCAGTACATGTCAATGGTAATGCGAAAAACTTTCACAAACTCACTTGTAGTTTACTTCCTACAACTGCCACTCAATTGTTTTATTTATTTGAGTCCTTAAAGCAAAGAACCAACAAGTGAACCGTAAGAGCAAAATTGAAGGCGGCTTTGTAATACATGATACTGCACACTTCCTTCATCGGCAAAGCCCAGGCGACTGGTTGTTAATTGGGGAAGCCAGCTACATGTAACAAGATTCAAGGATATGCACAACTGCTGTGCATGTACCTTGTTATGTGAAGCAGTGTTATGGTTAACTCCTAATGTCATGGGAAATTTTTCTTGGATAAGGAAGAATTGGACCCGAACTGTGGGGGCTTTGAGTAGAACATTTTGGGTCTACACTGTGCGACACATGCGTGGTCCCCACACCAACTGAAGAATGTTTGCGCCCGCCTGCAGGTGTGGGGAGGAAGGTCGGGGGGAGGTGTCGTGGGAAGGGGAAAGTGCCAGAGTGTACCTCCAACGACTTGGTGTTAGCGTAGGAGGCCTTGCCTCCCAGTGCACTCCAGAAGCTGGCCGGTTCCTGTCCCTCAGGCACCATGGTGTAGTCAGACGCCCTGAAAAAGGGAGGGAAAAATTGACTGAATGAGAGGTTTTACTATGATCATATTATTAATCATTTCTGGTAATGACGCCAAAGATTTCTCAAAAGTGCCCCGGGCATTGTAACTCGCAAGCCTGAAGAAATCTGAAGAAAAGGTGACAAAGGCGGGAAGAAAACCCTGACAGAATAATTCGGGATAAAACCCACAGAATCAGGTGGGGATTGAAAATCTAATCCCCATCCAATTTCCTCCAAACACATGTCAATACTACCCCCCCTTCGAAGTTCACAAACAGATATATGCACACGAGTTCTTAGGAATAACGGTGGTCTTACGATTCCTTTCTGATGCACTATAATAGATAAATCGACCATCCCACACATTGTCTGTATTATACACTCGTTTATTATCTTGTGTGATTACTGCTATTTGATATTCTCTTATGATTGTTTTTTGTAGTCACAAGTGCTTTCTAATGTTTCGTATACTTGTAAATTATACATATTGTAATCCAATCACTGTAAATTTTCAAATTTTTGGATTGGAGATTTTTAAACCAGAATAAATAAATCAAAAACATGCACACCGAGCCAGAAATTGAACCCAGGCTGCAGAGGTGAATGGAAAAAAAAACAGAGCAACTACTAGACCAACCTGTCTCACAAAGTTGACACAAATCTAACAAAGTCTCTCCAGCAATACTATGAGGGATTAGAACTGCATGTTCTAAATCAGCATGGGGTCTAACTGTCCCACGTACAACAGAGCAGTGTTGGTTTTTCTGGCAGGAGGAGGCTGGTTCCGAGCAAAAGAAATGGGAAAAAGTCCACAGACTCGTCTGAGCTCGGCCAATAAGACCAGAAAATGGAAACTGTCAGCCACCAAATGAAAAATGAAGGGACTTCGGGACCGCCGTCTACTTGTGCACCGGTGAGGTAAGATTACAGGTATGAGGGGGGGGGTTGCTACCATCACCTGTCCTCCTCATGACATACCTTCCAGCTAGTGTCTTGGCCACCCCCTTGGCAAGTTCTCTTTCATCGCCACTGCCTCCCTGTTCAAATCACAAGAAAGCCGGTGATAGATTAAGTGGCTCTGACAGTGCACACAAGTCAGTTCACGGAACTGAGACGTAGTGAGGAACAGAGAAAGTTTGCACGGTAAAAGAAAGCGACCAGCCTGGATGTGTATCCCAAGTGCAATGACTGCTGGCCAACATCCAAGTGGATTTCTACGTTGGTGTGTATGAGATTTGCTTTAAACCTAATATCTGTATTAAAATTCTAGGATAGCACTGGATTGCTGCATCTCTTGAGCTGCTAATGGCTTTGTAAATTTACTTGGAATTTGTGCGGTGCACTCTCACAAAAAAAAGGACACTGCGCTGAGGGAAAGGGCTGTCAAACTTGACAAAACAAAAAACACCTTAATAACTTAAAAAAAAAAAAGACTTGAAATGACTGCATAATGAGAGTATCATTTGGACCGGTGACAATATACATGACCTGACTGAGCCATGTTGAAGTGGAGTCATTGAGTACTTTTTCAAATTGCTCTTCAGTGTTGAATGAAACAATTCAGCTGGACAAGAAAAAAAAAACACTGTCAGAAGTACGAGAGGTTGCTTTCATCTAAAATCTCTTCCAAAATGTTGTCAGTGTTCAAGGTGATGTGCGACAAAGTAGAGACAGGGAAAGTGCCTACCTTCCCACACCATAAGAAGGTTTCATTGGGCATCTTCAGGACAAATACATCGTTGGAGTTGAGAGCACTTGCTCTGGCTGGAACCTTGAGCAAAATGACAACAAACACAGATAACAACAGATGGAAACAAACTACTTGGGATGACCGTCACTATGCTTCAAGGCATGACATGTCTGGCAGGAAACGGCACATGACCTCATGAAGTAAAACACCGATGAAAACTGCAAAACACTGAAGCTTTCTCTATGGGATTGACCCCTTTTCCAGGCTGAGATCAAGTGCAATCAAGATACTCGGGATTTCAGTTCTGTAATCACACTAACAGCACAATTTTTTTCAGTTTGGTTATAAATCAAACAACGTAGCCTTGAATACAAACAAATACCTTAAACACCACTATGTCTTGTTGTCTGAAGGAATTTGTTTTGGATCAACTGATTACGGTGCTAGCATCCTCAAGATGGCATTTCACGGCATTTATCTGAAAACGAAACTGGACAGCTACGTGTAGGGAGCAGACACTTCAATTGCAGTTTAATTATAGGTTGTGCCCTTACACCGACTAATTCATAAACACTGTATACTCGGTGCTTGTCTGAGAGCTTGGGTGGGACTCGAACCCCTGACCTCCTGCTTACTAGTGCAGATGTCTTAACCACTCGACCACCGAGCTTGCTGGGGTTGGCCAGCTGGTCCCAGTCAGATGTAGCATATATTGCAGCTTTTACGAAAATCTAAGCATGGGGGGCGGGGAGGGGATGTCAGGTTTTCCTAACATATGTTCAGTTGATCACGTGGTTGGGATCTGTACACCCACCTCGATGGCCTTGGTGTTCAGCTCGTTTGTTCCCCTGACTTGGAAGAGCCTTGCCGTGGACTCGGCCTTGTCTTGCTCTTGACGGTTCTTGAAGCCGCTAGCCTTGCCTCCCTGTGGAAACAAAGGCGTGTGATAACCCATGAACGAATAACCACATGAGTCACTGTGGATGGCACTTGCAAGAGAACTATTATACATGAGAAAGCTTGAATTTTAATTTCCCAGAAAAGGGACAACTACTAATAACTGTAGAGTACCCCTTCATTCAGGACGGGGGAGGTTGAATGCCCCAGAATCTGACAGGGCACATGTGTGCGATGTGCGATCACCACTGACATACTGGTTGTTGTAGATAGATTTCGAAGTTGAAATTGAAAAACACCACCATCTAGACTGCATCTAACCACTTACCAACAGTACCAGTTTGGGCCCAAAATTTCTGCTTTCGAAAAAAGGCAAGATACAGCAGCCCAGTTGTGACACACAAATGCCATGTGTACTTATTGACAAGACTCATTTGAGCAGTAGCTGTGCACTATTTCTTTCCTGCAACGGGCCACACACGGCCTGTCGAGTAATTTTCTGATATCCTTCAGCAGTGTAAGTCATGTGACATGACGTTTTGGAAGGCTCTGCTGCTGCGAGTCAAAGCTGTTTCCGCGTGCACCTACCATGTGGATGATCATCTTGCCTTTGAAGATCATCTGGAAGTGGCGTGGCTCCTTGTTCTGCACCACGCGCACCTGGACCGGGGCTCCGCCCATGGAATCATCCAGCTCCTGGGCGTGGATGGCCGAAGCCCCCTTCTCATCTTGAGAGGACTCTTGGCCCTGTGGAGGGAAACGGGGGCAGGGTGAGGTGGTGTTTCAAAAGGTTTGGAATGTTCAAATATAACACTGTGAGCAGGTCATAAATAATTCAACTAAAGTTTTTGATGATATCTGAGAATTCGTGGACATCTTTATCCTGAGAAGCAGCAATCTCTAAGCCAGGCTGAAGTGGAGAAAAGAAGTCATCGGCTAAATTATAACTGGTGACATGAAAGCCTGCAAACAATTCCAACAATCACTCAAGCCTCCTGTGTATAAAATTTTGCCTTGGTTCATTTTCAAGTACTAGAACAATACCAGTAGCACTCAGAACAAAAATTTGGAGTACCAAATTCAAGTGCCAAGTGCAGATACCTACAACAATTAAAGAAGCAATACAACTGATGACAAAATAGCAATAATTTTATCTTTTTGAAACGACCACTGTTCTGAATGTCGTCATGAGGACATTTACCATTTACCAGCAAACAATAAGCATCAATACAACACTAAGAGTCATACTGATGATTTGATAAGATCGATTTGATTTGTCATCCATTCATCACAACACATGAAAACAAAGCTAATGAACATCACAGTATACAGGGTGATGCATGGAGGAGTCCAAGCTGAAGCACAAGCTTATGCGAGGCCAGCTTGATTTGCAATTAATTAAACCTTACTTTCTTAATGTAAATAATTCAAAAAGTGATTACAAAATCAAAACATTTTCGCATGATTACCAATCCAATCATTGACATGATTGCAATCAGTCAAATCCATCCAATGGCAGCTACACTGACCTGCCAGAAGTAGATGATGTACTGCTCCCGTCCTCGCACCTTATACGTGTACAGGATCACGTAGCTGTCACCGCCAAAGAACTGCCCGTACAGGCTGGGGTCCAACTCCACTTTTTCAAAATCCTCAATGCGCCAAATCTACATGGGAAAAACCATGGGGGAATGAGATTCATATAGGACACTGGTGTGTCTATCATGCCCTTGAGGGGGTACGCGGTAGAGCATAGAAGTACATGTGGCCACTTACAAAGACACCCTTCACATGCAGACAAGGCTGTCTTCAGAATTATTTCCACACAACTGTGCAGATACAACCATGAAAATCCTTACAAAAATACACGCGACCAATTTCAAATGAGAAGGCTTTTTGGATACAATACAAAATGAGGGAAACAAGTTCTCTACTCAACACCAATTTCTTTGAAAAAGGAATTTTCATATATTGCCCTGACAAGCTTTCTCTAAAAAGCTGCAGACCTTTTGTATGTAGTGATATCCTGTACAAACAGTGCACAGCCAACATATCAAAACAGAACATTCTGATATTATCCAGATGATTTTGAAGGATTTTTTCCCCAGTTTTTAGTTTCGCCAAGATTGTTTCCGAGAATGAAAATGCAAGAGGAAAGCTACCTTGATCGTGCCAGTTCCGTCATCTGGCATGCCGTGCGTTGCAGCCAGGGATGGGTCCGCCTCAAAATCACCGGTACTCTTTTTGTGGAGGCTGGTAGCGTCAAACTTCTTGTATTCTACCCTGGCTAAAGGATTGATTTCAGCAAACAGATCCAAAACAAAACTCAAATACCACAGAAAATGCAAGTACTGTTTGTGAAGAGTGCCTGAAGTTGTTAAAAAAACATGACTATTCTCATCTTTTGTCCTAATAGTTTGACCATTACATGTGGGTTTAGCATGGCCACATATGAACCTGTTAACAACTGTCTAGGTGTATTGAACCAGTTTAAACCTTGGGTAGAGCTGGAACAAGCTTTATGGCTAGTTTAGGAATATCTGAACAACTTGAACGTAACAGACCATGCTGGGGTTTTATAGCAGCCAAGCTGAACTGAGCCACCTAGAACAAGTCCTATGTAAATCTTAATCTGCACCTGTCATGCAAAATCTCCTTGGCTGTTTCAGACCATTGAAGGCTGACTGGTAAAAAAAGTGTGGCTGATTAGGAAGGACATGAGGCGTCAAGGTCATGGGTTTGATTTTGTGTATATGCTCCTTCATGCATAAATGCCTAGACTTTAATCATCCACACTCCTCGAGGATACCGTTCACACTGCCTCAACATAATGACAGGAATTACCAGGTAGGACTGAGGCAGTGGTCACATATTCAAGAAATCATGGGGGATTGAGGCAGTAAACAATTTTTCCCAAGGTGGCAGGATTTTGAAGGAGTAAGGATGCATCCCAGCAAAAAGGGGCATTTGGGTTAGGGTTAAAAATTACTCCAATGGCTAGACTGGCCCAGTTGGAGCAAGTTTGGACCAGTTTTGTACAGATGGTTTGGACCAGCCAGAACCAGTCTTGGTTTACACTGGTTTGGAACACATTGGCAGGATTGGACCGGTCTGAACCAGTCTTGCTCAGCACTGACTTGGACTGTAGTTTCAGACAAGCTTCACAGGACTGAACCTGTCTGTACTGGTGCAACCATGCTGCACCTGTCACAACAGCAGCCACCAGAGCTCTACCACTCACCAATGTTGCCCCTGGGAGATCTGACCACGCCTATCTGAGAGGCGTTCTTCTCCCGCCAGTTCTTAAAGATGTACTTGAATGCGGTTGGCTCACCGCCGTCGCCGACAGCAGTGATCTGGGTGCCCTTGGGGTACTGCTTGGCTTTTATGAACCCCTGTATTTGGCAAAAAGGAACTTGGAGAAACGCACATCATGTAATGGCCTCCCCTCCCCCCCAAAAAACACAGGAATGTTTAGAATAAAATCAACATCAACACCAGAAGTATACTTTCCATCGAACATATAGAGGTCTCTATACAACATTCAAAATGGTGTGAGAAAATCCTCACACTCAAGCCAAACATGGACTGATGCAGTGCAGTCGTTCTTGGAGTCCAGCACTTTCATACCAATACTCATGCTAGCATACGGGTAGGCCTACCGATGCTCATGGTTTTTAAAAGTATAAAGGCATTTTTCCATTTACTTCCATACAAACTGGTTAAAAGTTTTTTCGTTTTTTTCTTAAGTATGCTCTCGTGAAGCACTTGACTGCCGACTGCCAAAGGAGCAACAAACATGTCCAACTGTGGTCCATCATATATTAGAGGGCTACCGACGAGTACATTATATACAGCATCATAACCTCAAAGATAACGGCTACATCGACACTGCTAGATACAAACTTGGGCCTGGGTCAGATTACACAGTACCACAAGCCATGGGTGTCACTGGGGGGGGGGAGAGAGCAGGTCTCTTGCCAGGAGGGAGTGGGGTGGGAAAATACAGATCAGCAGCAAACTGACATACAATCAACAAGAAACCCAGGTCAATTCTGAGGTCATTTTTAGCAACTGGGTGATTTTCATCCCCATTCCTTCCTTTCAGTTTCTTCTTCCCTATAATCCCCACCCCCCCTCTTTTTTTTAATTTTCAGGAGGGTACAAGTTCCCCCTTGGCGCTTGATCCTCCACCTTTCCTACTCCCATGCGACTTGCCACTGTATGCACTGTGGTTTTTCCAATATCCGCTCCAGTTCTCTTCACATGTTTTGCTTCATTTTCTAAAAGTTAAGAGCAGCAAAACTTGGAAAGGAAAAACCAAAGTACCAAGTAGTTTTGATACAGCTACATAATTTCTGTATCGGTTTTACACCTAAACATGATAATTGCAAAATACATTACCGTTTTCATAAAAATTCATTTCTACAAAATTAAAAAACCTCAAGAAATTCCCATCTGGTCCAAAGATATGTTCACAGATCCTGTCATGACTCTGAGTCCTTTGTTAACAATTCAATAACTCTGATTAAACTTCATTAATTGGGGATTTGAGTTCGTGAAACAAATAGTTCATTTAATGTTCTTCAAAAGTGCTAGGGTGCACTTATCCACGATGGAAAAACACACCCCCCAAAATAACCTTCCGTTGCCAACAATGTGCAATTATAAATACCTTAAGCAATTGTGCATTGCTGAAACCATTGCATTAAGACAGCAACAAATTCATTCATAGAAATAGTTGGTATAGTTATACTGTTAAAGCGTGACACTATCCAAAAGGTATCAGCTCATTTCAGCTATAAATCAAATAATGGAGACTAGGATACAAGCAATAAGGGCAATTCACAGTACAGTGCACCATCAAGTGTTTGCCGCAGACAGGCTACTTTCAAGTTCACGATCGACACGCAGCTTGAACTGAGTGCACTTTGGTATCGTACATAACTTATATTTATATATGTCAAGTTTTGATTGAGTCGTTCCCTGCACCACCATCATGTTAACCATTTATCACCCATTCACAATGAGCAATTTCGAAGTTTCAACCAAGATGAGAACAAATTGAAGTTTCCCGCACACAGCACAGTTAACGAATGGGATTTTGTCAACTATATATATCCCATTGTGCACTTCTACAAGACCTCTCAGTGACAACCTCTTGGTGGCGCACTGCACTGAGAATCGCCAGTATTACATCATTATTTCTTTTGACTGACATATATTAATCATGTTAATAATCCCCAAAAGAGAGGCCATTTCATGACATTTAAATGAATTCTAAACAGCTATGTGTACGCAGCATGCATTTCTTCACAACGTTTGCTGTTCTTACACCCGGTTTGGGTGGTTTTTTTTTTCCAAGTCTCTAGACAGATGCTGAAGGAACATTAAGATCTCCATTTTAACTTTTAAAATTTCCCATGAGTTTTGATTTACTTTTTTAAAAAAAAGTCACTTTCAAAATTGAAAGTTTGTTTTGACACCTTTGGTATAAACAACTTTGGTATAAAAGGTCAATCTGAAGCATTGGAGAAAATGAAGAGCAAAAAATGAACCCCCCAAAAAAACACAAACACCCAAATATAAAAAAATTATGACACCCTGACTTAACTCTAGCATGACTGTCTTTGACCACATACCTCAAAAAAAAGAGCACAATATGCCAGAAATTTCTTTTAAAGTTTGTAAGTTGTATCATTTATAAAAAAAATGACTCCTTGTGACAGACCTGTCTTTTAATCACAACCAAGTCCCTTCATTATTGTAAAGATCCAGATCGCCCCCAGGTCCATAATTATCCAATCACCCATGCTTCACACCACACCTTTGGATTTATGCGTACAACAAGAGCCATTCTGGCAAAATGCAGGCAGGACAAATTGCACAGTAACTCAATGCCTGTTATCAATTCCATGCTGGATGGTATTAGCCTACTGAGAGTTCACCAGTCCTGGCTGCCGTATCGAATGACAACAGCTGTCCACAGCATGCTGCATGCACATATTGAATTCGCCATTCCATACGTTTACATCACCCTCATTTAAATGTCATGTACATGTATCGGTGAACATTTCTGGTTATCAGCAGTGAACTTCAGCAATATATATGTATCTGCACTGGGATCTGATCTGGTTGTCAGCTTTATCAAGGATTCATTTTTCCAACAAGAATACAACTGTATCTCCATCTAATTGGTAAACTCAAAACGGCATCTATAAGGCACCTAACACATCTGAATGGTAAATTATTGTATGATGACAGTTTGGATATCACACTACGATTTTCAACTACAGTTGCACCTGGAGTGCCTTTCATGATCAGCAATGAAAAAGTGCAAAACAAACTTACAAAGACAATGTCAAGCAAAATTTTGTATCACAATCAAGATGGGAGACTTGTATCTGTGCAGCGTCTAATTTAGAATTAACAGATCCTTTTCTTTCTTCGGCATGAACCGCACTGGAAGTGTCTGTGAGGACCAACTTCAAAGGCTACATCAGACTGACACCAAGGGCTTTAAAAAACACAGATGTACCCAGGTCAACACAATATACCCAAATAATATTAAGATTGTGACTTTCAGGCTCGACACACTTTACGCTGTTCATGACCTTGTACAGGGATTCCCCTGACAACTTATTCATCCCTCTTAAAGCCGTATCTTTCTGTGGGAACTTACTTAAGTACGGATTTTCTGGCGTCTCGTCAGACTTTCAGACCGCTTTCAATAAAAGACACTCCAAGTGTAACGTTTTACAATCTGTAGGCTCGAGCATTATACTTTTAATTTACAAGTCATTATTTACAAGTGATTTAACAGGCAAATAACAGGGTACTGTCAGTTGGTTGACAATGTGATGACAGTACCACCTTCCAACTGTCAATGTGGGAACAAAACAGATCTTGTGGTCTGCAAATCAAAGCATCACTGCAATGCACTGCCTTTGGCAAAGTTGGGTAAAAATATGGAAGAATATAAAATATCACAGGCCTCAGTGGAAAGACTTAAATGGTAAAATGTAACGGGTCGAGGGTCAAAGGGTACAAGCCTTTTATTACCTCTGGTGGAGTGTCTGAATGCCAGATTGAACTGAGGGAGATTATGGCACAGAAGCAAGGCACTTGGCTCCCCTAATGACGCAGAGTGGATAGCTGGGGGGTCAACTTATCTTTTATTTGGGTCGTTCAGAGCTCTGAAGTTTCTTTGCAGTCACATACACTCCCAAAATTTCGACCCAGACATTAAAACAGATGGAAATAATCAAGTACTTTGGGAGTGAAGCATCAAGCGCCAAATTATTTGATAAAAAAGTTTGATTTTCTTCAAAAAGACTTTCTGATTTGCAGTCTCTCTTCTACTTAAATTATACTATTCTCCAAAAATTTGATTCACTCCAAGCCGAACTCCAACAGTCACAGATTTCAATGATTGAGCTTCTTTTTTTTCATAAAGGAGGCAGTAAGAGATTTTTTCTTTTAGAATTCCTGCAAGACCACAAGATCTGATCATTCCCACTCCAAGTCTGTCGCTGAAATTGATTAGCAATCAATGGACCCCTGCCTAGTCTGTTATGATCTGTTAAACAGAAGCCCACTTATCCCAGTACTGTTAATAAAAACTGGATACCTGAGTTAATGGTTTAGTAATGATTGTCCCATGAGTCCACAAAGCGCTCCACAGTTTTGTTTTCTTTTCAAATTATTCGAACCTTTCATACGGCCGTTTTGCAATAGTGCGCCACTGAGAGTTTGCAACGTGTTGGCCAATCACAATGCGAAAAATTTGTCGACCCAATGCGCGTTTGGAAAGGGTCGACAAATTTCGCGCATTATGATTGGCCAACGTGTTGCAAACTCTTGGTGGCGTACTATTGTGAATCGCCCGTATTCAATGATTGTTTGAGTATCAGTCATTACTAAGGACTATTTAACACTTTACAGTTCCACTTCCTGTTAAATCCAGTCTATTTGTACCAGTGAAGTTCTTTATTCTAAGATGTTAAGATGTTGAAAACTGCAAGTTAGGCTGAAGCTATCTCTATAGAGTTTTTAGATTGCTGGGTTGTATTATCAATTTTTACGTGCTCAAGGTGACAAGTTACTTTAGCTGGGCAACGCCATGTCAGAAATTTTGTCCCCAAACAAATATAAGCCTGGAATTGTCTGCATGTATTCGTATGTTAAATTGACTACACAGAGAATGCAATGCCAGGTGACATGACGATGAACTTGAGGTACAAAAAAATGACAATGCAAATGAATGAATGGAAAACAACACTCCCTGTTGGGAAAAAACAATGAAATAAATGGCAATGAATTAATCAACGTGAAATTCCCTGTTCAGAAAGAAAACTGTGAAATCATGCAAAATGGCTATGGTTTAAACTAGATGACAGAGCCCTCGCTCATGTGACAACATAAAGCGAGCATTTTTTTTATAAGGTGGTACTTGGATTTTAGGACAGAAAAAAAAATATTTCTACTGTCTCAAGATAAACAAATATGGGTCTTCAAGTCGGAGGGAAGAATACAAAAAATATTTATCCCCCCCGATAAAAGAGGTATACCACTAGCACTAGCGGCCAAGGAAATAAAATCACAAAATTGTAATCAGGGACTTTGCCGTTGGTAAAACACAGTGGAACCAACTTTTATTTATTTATTTATTTATTTATTTATTCCAGTAAATTGTGGTTGCTCGATCCAAGACTTCTAAAAGGAATTTTTTTTTGTTTTTTGCCAGCTCTGAATCCAACAGGTCAGCGAATCCAAGTACAAACTTAAAAAACTCCAGCCCAAAAATGAAATACAGAATTAAACACACATATGGTTTAGGGAAGAACATGAAAGCAGAACTAAAGGTAGTATGAGGGGAAATACACGAAACTCAAATCAATTAGCTTTTCAAAATATCAGAGCTGCTTTAAAAGCCGAGACGTGAAGCCAGCAGAAAAAAAGAAGCATCAAATCAGAGCAAACCTGCAGGTCCACTCCTATTTAAATCGATTCTCTGAGCTGAGCTCCACTAAAGAGCAGTGAAAAGCACAATCAGGCTTACTTTAATGACAAGAACCCAAGGAAAGCCAGCCTCAAGCCCTTCCAATGTACTTGGCTAAGGCTATGGCTATGAAAGAACACAAGGCCTACATATACATGTACAAGGCATCCACTGGCCAGCAGCCATATCCACTTTCCATAGCAGTGTGTGCCTCCAAGCCCCAGCTGGTTGATTCGGACATGGGCTCAGATATTTTCATGCAGTCAGAGAATCCAAGTGTTGGTCAAAAGAGTGCAAAACCTGGGACACGCACACTGCAATTCATCTGCAAATGTGTCAACTGATAATAGGGCTGAGTCAATTCGAATAACCTTCAATTCGATTGAATATCTGAATTTTCGGTTGTACCAATCGGCAGATCATTGATTAACAAACCATATACAAAATGAGTTGCAATGCCACACGCAATTGTACATTATGATCAATATAGTAGCTTCTCACGTCTAGGAGTATTTCCAGCCATGATTTAGCAAGATTTAGAGACAAACAATACTTCTTTTCCTGTTGAAACTGTCTATTCCTTTAAAATTTTTTTAATAACTTACTTTTAGAATCGTTGTAAGATTTCTGTTGGTTTTCATTTGAATCTGTTTGAAACAAGCTTCCATTGTGCAATTTTTCTCATTCTCTCAAAAGACAAATTCTCCCTTCCTTTTCATGAATTTTGCGTTCTAATATTCAAATTCGGACAAAATATTTGAATAATAATCAATAATCGATCGAATATTCAGCACAGCCCTAACTGATGAGGGTACACACATTAAAAACAGCAATAAAATGTGCTTCTGCATATTTGCTTTGAGTTTTTTGACAGGAGGGGACAGGTAAGCAGTAAAGTCAGTTGGGTATTCAGACATGAATAGCAAGATTTGACAACGAGTCAGTTTGGTATTTCAAAAAGCCAAGGTCTTTTGGGAACAAGCCCGTGCATGAGTTGGTGTGTGGCTGCACTGATAGGACAGACAACTGTATGCGTGTGTAGCTGTTCATGAATAGCCTTGTACTGAGCGTGCACTATTGAAATACCAAACTGGCTTATTCTCTGCAGACACACCAGGCAGAAAGTACACACTTCTGAGTGTTGGCTATCTGCTATTCAATCAAAACCAAAACTGGAACAAAGTTCCACATACGAAAGTAAAAACAGTTCCCCCCCAAAAAAGGGGTAGAGTCAGAAGTTTTTAAAGTCAAAAGTTTTTTAAAGGAAAATAGATAGTCATGGAAATGGTGATGAGGTGAAATCCATGTATGCATGCAACCATTAAACCAAGACGTGTACTGTAACATTTATCTTCCACAGTGTTCAAGACCTGTTCTAAGCACATACCACAACCCAAGCACTGCATCGACGTTAGTGACAGTAGAAATGCACATTTTCTTAGTGTGCTGCGAGTAGGTTTTAGTAAGGACACGAGAAATTGATAGTATTCCAAGCGGGGGGAACCCTGGGCAGAAACCGGTAAGGGGAAGTGCAGGGGTCCTTCTGCATACTTCAGTGACAGAAAAGGGGTAAAGGCGACAGTGGGGGAAGACAAGGCGATACCGTAAAAACAGTGCCAACAACACTGGCAATAACCTTCCAAACCATCATAGGGAAATTAACAGGCCTGAGGGGTCAAAGGTCAACTTAAACTCCAATCTGTTTGAGCCAATCAGAATGCAAGTACATGGACATGAAGACGTGCCCTTTTTTTTTTTACTGTTAAGCTCTCCTGAAAGTCATGCTGTGCAAATACAGATCTTTGGTGTAAATTTCAACAGTTTTTCAGAAAAGATACATCTTTTGATGGATATCATGATCCCTGACCCCACAAGACTGCCTCAGTGCAATGAAGAAGCCAACCACAGGTCACAGACTGTCCACAGTTACTGTTGCCATGGACGCTGTGGCCATGGCAATACTTCACCTCGGCATTCTTCATGGCCCTGACTTTCTCCTGTTGAGTGGCCGATTTGCCCTTCCAGACGTAAATACCGGCGCTGCCTTGGTCGATGATGTAACAGTCCTGCGGGCACAATCAGACCAAGAATTTGAGTGAGTCCAAGGTGGCGAGAGAATTTCAGCTGGATTTCAACCCTGAATCTCCTCAATCCTCCAAAATCTTCTGTGGTTTTGGAAGATTTTGAAAGATCGAGAAAAAAAGGCAAAAAGAGTGCCTGATTGCAAGGGATGCATTGTTTCAAGGCTGCAGGGTTAGATCTTGTGTTGTTTAAATGCATAAATGCTTGTCTAGACAATACATGAAATCATTCATGCTGCTCCCGGATACCATTCATACCATTCAACATAATGAGTGAAATTGCCAGAGGATTTTGAAGCTTCGAGGCAGCAAGCACCCTTCAAAGGAGCATAATCAAGAAATACTACAGGATTTGGGAAGACAGAGGCCAAATGCAATAATTAACAGGGATAGGAGAGGATTTTGAAGGATTGAAGAGGAAGGCTAGCAAAAAGGCCTAGGGTGTTAGGGTTAAATACAGTCTTCTTTATAACAAAAACGTTCAGTAGACCAGATAAAAGCATGCCTAAAAGGACAAGTGTAAAAGAGATTTAAACAAGCACAAATTCCACCAATGGCACTGCATTCAAGATACGTGGGTCATACACAAAAGACAGGGCTCGCAAGCCCCTTAAACAAAAATCACAACATTCCAAGTTGCACAACAATGCACCACCCCGGAAAACGGTGGCAGTTTGCGTGAACGTGTTCAATGCAACATTCGGAGATTATAAGAAGTCTGAGGTTGTCAGGAATGTTGAGGTACGTGTACATGTAGGTTTTCCAGTAAAGGCTTACATTGGAGTCCAGCAGATCCTGGGTCAGTGGACACACAGCTTTCTCCGTGACAACAAGGGCACCTGACTCATCAGTAACACTGTGGCAGAGGAAACAAAACAAAAATAAAATTGACATGCAACAACCACAACAGGAGATTGTCTTGATAAGAAACAGAGAGACACAGGTTGCCCTTAAATAATCACTGGTGAGACAAAACTATTTACACAGATGTATGCATTCAGTTGTCCTTTTGCCTTCATCAAGTCATCTCTGAGGGAAAGAGAATACAGGAGGCCAGATTGAGGAAATGTCCCAGTCTGGACACATGTCCCAAGGAATGGCCAAAGATCTCCCAGAAAAAAGAAGAAAAAAGGCTTCATCAATGCAAGTATTAGAATTAATTTAATTCTGACCTTGCATCTTAAGTCATGAATGCAAAAAAAAGGTACACTGGAGCACTAGTCGGCCTGTGTTAGAAGGCCTGAATGTTTGTGGAATCTTTCACAAAGCCTTTCTAATAACTACAAGTGATGGGACCTCTGATCCTTTCAATGCTAGGGTGTTTCAGGTCACTTCTAGTTCGTAAGCTGTTGACAGCACGAAATAATTCTAAAATTATTACAAGTTTTGGCCAAAAGAAAACCAGAAAAGCCAAATTTGCTTACTGGTACAACTTGGTATTGGCGACATTTTTCCGGGCAAAGGTTTCGTCTTCTTCTGGCGAGTCTTTGAAGCTTTTCGGCGGAGGGCCCAGGGCCTTGGTGATGTCTTCGGGCAAGGTCTCTCCCTCTTCAAGGTACACAATGTGAGCCTTGCCTCCATACATGTCATCCCGGACCCTTTTAGCATACTCTCCACCCTTTCAAGAGAGAACAATTTTCCAAATGACATTTGAGATTCAGGAAGTGCAACAAAATCTGCAGAAATCTCAACACGTTTGATTTTAATGAAGTGGGACAGTTGACACAGTGATAACAACAATAAAACAGCCACACTTTGACCCCAAAAAAGAGGAAATGTGTGGCAATAGGAGGGAGAAAAAAAAAACGCAACAGAATGCAAAATTCCTCAGTTTCCGGGATATGGCGTCAACTGCTCAAGACCAAATCCACTTTCAACACACCTTCAGTTTCTCCTGCGAGTTAGACTTGAAACCACGCCACACACAGATCTACATGTATTCTGTGATTATTTAGCACCTCAAATTTACATCTGGGGCCACACCTACTAAAGTCCCACCCACTATAAACTCACCTTCAGTTTCTCCTGCCGGTTAGCCTTGGAACCACACCACACATAGATCTTCTGGTTCAGCTCAAGGATGAACACATCACCGTTGTTGAAGGAGTCCCACGTCAAGTCAACCTTCCAACCAAAACAAAGCAGCCCTCCAAATCATGGCAATATACTGTCGGCAAAATCTGCTCCTTTTTGTACAAAACCACTGCATAAAGTGGTACAGTGAGGTCATCTCAACATAATCCCTTTTACAGAATGGAAATTGGTTGTGGGGCACAAATGTGTATTTCATGTTCAGAAAGAAATGTTTCGTCCACAAAAAACGTTTCAGCTTCTGCAATCACTTCACTTCACTTGACATTAACAGCACGATATATGTACATATTACCATGGAAGGGGACGGAATTGTCTCTTCTCATTAATATGGTTACAATGCAAACTCGTCGCTCAATAAAAGGAAACCAAACCACAGAACAATTTCTATCAAAGGAACATACTGTACGTATCATATCACGAAGGTCAACCTGCTATTTGAATTAGAGTCAATCCCCAAAGGTACATGAAGGTCAGAAATGGTGATTTACTGGATAAACGGTTCAAAAACAGGGACAAAACAACCAGTTGATACCTACCGGGATGACCCTGACATTGCGCTTGCCTTTGACCTTTGACAGTTTGGGGTCGTGCTTGTTCCTCTCCACATGCCTGAATCCTGAGGCAACGCCACCTTTCTCGTAGCTGTGCAAGTGCACAAAGAGAAAAAAAAAATCTGTCATCAATTGCCAACACTTAAGCACAAGAATGAATTAACCACAGAGATGGATGCCTTGAGTTGAAGATGTACACACCCTGGCTACATCTGGAAGTTTTGGCTGCAATGAGCAGCTGTGGCCATTCATTGGTAGATTCCAATGGGCACACAGTACACCCAACCAAAACTAATACACAAATGTATGTACTTTTGTATGCAGCCTCATCTCCCATTGCACATCAGACCCTCAGATCAAACCCCTTTTAAATTTTGAATTGCTGAGTTTTAAACCCATGTTAATTGTCTGGGTTTCTATCCCACCTCTGACACCAAAGATTCCACTAATGTCTTTTTGAGTCAACAAGTGACTTGATATCAGCTCTGAGGAATCACTTCTTTCATTAATACCTGAGGATATGTACATGTATGATACCTTACAACGTCCAAATTTTGTTGGAGCTAACACTCCCCAGTTCTTGCCTGGGTACCTTGTTGAATCTCAAAGTATCCAACACCGGCAAAGAGTGGAATCTACTGCACTACATGTAGAAGAATCTAGCAACTTGATAAAAAGAACATTTGATATGGCCCCGATCAACAAAATCCAAAAGAATCTTCCTATGTTCTGATGTCATTAGATTTAGAATAAGGGTTATACCAAAAGAAACAGGTCAAGTGGTTACTATAAAAGACAAAAGTATTTCTGCTTACACGATCTGCTTGAAGTAGGAGAGGAAGAGCTTAGACTCAGCTTCCTGCACCTCCCGATGCTGAGTGGGAGACCCGCCCAGGTGGTCATCCAACTCTGTCGTCTTGTACGCTGCCACGCCTGCCTCATCCTTAACAAATGAAGTAAAGATGATTTTGGACCTTGAGTGGCAAATGCAAACGGTGCTTTGCGGGCCACAAGTTCAGAGAAAAGGAACACTGTGTGCATTTTGGTTGATGTATGGTGCACAGTGCTTGTCAAATATTTTCCACAGAATGTGCACAATCAGGGGACATCTGCATGAGCAAGTACAAAGCAGTGAGAACACTCAAGTATTGTGCTCTGGAGTGAGGCGATGAAATGTTCAAATGGACTTCCCCATGACTTTTTCCTGAATAACTATTTCCTGCAGTTTCGATAAATGCGTATACACGCATCGTTGCAGGACCTGACCACTGATAATAAAATTCACATGGAAATGATAGGCAATGGGCTATATTATATAGTATGCAGTTTCACCCTCCCTTCAACCTCCAAATGCCTCGCAAAATATGAAAAGATCACGGGCAGAAGCTCCTCCTGGAGAAAGTAACTGTCTACCTTTTAACTGCAAAAGCATTTGAGCTGAAACTGGATTTTTAAATTGTTTGCTCTCATCATTTCAAGCTGAGCACACTTCAACGAGACACTGAGAACAAGTGCATGTATCTGAGAAACTGTGGACCCATTAATGACATGAACATATTCACCTGAGATGATGTACGGTACATGTGGCAAATACATAACAGGCACTCAACACAATCCAAATAAGGAGGAATTGTTCAATTTGCTGGCATAAACCGACCAGTACATAGGAAGTAAAGAGTAACGTAATCAATTATTCTGAGGGAAATAGGTGATTGGCGGATAAAATGCACCAACGTACATGCACAAGGAAGAAAGGATAGGGGGATAGAACAAATGCAAGGAGAATAACACGATAACTCATAAAAGTTTAAAAAGCAGTCTTTCCAAAATGTTGTTTCTGTACCTGAGATGTTTCTTTCCCAAGCCAGAAATGAATGTTCCACACAAAGCCACCTCCTGAAGACTTCGTCTGCAGCACAAAGGGAAAAATCAAAATGAAGATCGTGAATAATTTAACACTTTGATATGTAAATCAAATTATCAATACCCTCAAAAAAATTAATATAACCATTGCTGGTACTCGAGAATTACAGCATGACGATAAGGCTGCTGGGTCATATCCCATGAAAGGTTACACAATCAAATCTTTCATTTTGCATACCCGGTTTATCAAATAAGATGGAAGATCAAGCAGACAATATGTGAATCTTTACCCGGCACTCTCTACCGTGCACAACGCACCTTTTACCACTGTCGATCCTTGGGAAGGCAATCCACAACACCACATTTGTCCTGATCTCATTAACAATGCCTAAAATATTTTCAAGATTGGAGCAAGTGACCAGAGGGTCTTCAACTGAATCGGCTGTGTGTACAAAACGATTTTACAATATTTACTTCCAACTGATTCAGGGTAGGCAAACAATGGAGGCAAGGCAGGGCAAATGAGCCCATGTTCTGCATTTTTGGGATCACCTGCACATTCACATATAGTTCAACTCTTGGAATGATCACACAAGAAATTTTAAGTTATAACTGTTGTATTTTTGCTTCTAAAGGTAACTGAAATGAAGGACTGGAGTCCACAATATTTGAGGTACATTTGAGGTAGTGACAAGCCTTCCCGGACATGGGTCAATCTTACAGGCTTTCCCTACCTCGTTTAAATTCAGCAGCCCACTTTGTAACCCTGCTGTAGGACATGGCAAGGGAGGCCTCTTTCCATCTCCTAGCTCATCTCCTTTTACCTTAGGGCACAAACTTATCAATCACCCCTCATACTTTGCATTGCGTCCTCCTCCGATCTGATGGAGTTCTTGATTCCAAACTGGTTCTGAAGAATGCTTAATTTCTCTATACAATCCTCCATAAAGTGCTCTTAGCATATCAAGGACCACTGCGTTGCTGTGAAATCAGACCTCGTGGTATGTACGAATTTTGAGGATGCACATTTCCCTTTCTTGTCTCTTAGAAAAGTGAAGAAAGCCAAATCAGGATTTTTGACAGCGTTTCTTCTACAACCTCCAACTACATGTACACAGACATTTCACACTTTCAGGATGCAATGAATTTCAGCACACTTATCAAATATTTGTGACGAAAGATGAAGCTGCAACACAGATAAACATGACAATATAATTGCATTAAAGTACATCCACGTCGACAGGGCTGCAAACGAGTCTCAGCTTGACATCACGCGGGGTCACATGCATACCGTTAATAAGCAATTCGTTTTTCAGAAATTGATGAATTTACGCTCCAGCCAGGTTCTTTTCCTATTGATTTTTTTTCAACATAAGTACTGCAATTGAGCAGTCGGCATGGTAGGGGACCGCGTAATACGAAGTACGTAAAAACAGACCGTAAAGTCGTTTTTTATTGGAGGTGCTCTTTAATGTATCTGTAATTTTACAGACTTATGACAAATCATCAATCCCGAGGGGGAAAATGGTCGAACCCACGCATCTAAAACTCAGCTGATGCAAGTCACATACTAGTGAATTCAATCTAGTCACGTGTACCACTAACAATGTATGAGCCTAATACATATACATGTACATTGTACATGTAGCTGAACTGATCTGTTCAATACTTATTAAAATCACACATGACAGACAGATGAAATTCTACACTGGTATTTATGATTCAAGAGACACCTGACTCTTGAGTTTTGATCCGCTATACAAATTATAATGCACAAATCCAGCATCTGTCACCTGTAGTACAGTTTGTATACAGGCGCATTACAAACAGAGGATTCATTTTCATCGAGCACAGAACAGATACATGTGCAGCATACTGAGGTTCTATAAACAGTCCTCCACATGAGGTGTGTACATGGTGACCATTTACATACCTACATGTACATGTACTGGTACAACGTTTGTCCAAGCAAGCGTGAATGACATTCTCCATATTATTTGACTCCATAATGTTGCTAATCATTACGGTAGACTTATTAGAGCAGATATTCTAACATGTACAATTTATGCAGGTATCTGATACACGGCTGCACAAGATGTTAATTTCGAAGAAATACTGTCCTGACCAGGACATGAATTTTTCCAGATATTTTTCCATGTAGGTCTACGAGTACCATACACCCAGAAAGGGCTAAATTACATGTCACACGTTGAAGAGATTCGATGAGTATTTCCCTGGAGTAAAAAAGTCAAGTTAAGCAAAAACTGATGCTTTTGCACAGTATTTACATGTATGTACATGTGTAATGGTCCCTTTACATGTAGTGCAAGTATAGGGCTGAGTAAATTTGAATAATGCACTATTCAAATATTCGACCTTCAATTCCATCGAATATCCGAATATTTGGTCGCACCGACAGGCAGATTGTTGAACAATCCATACACAAAATCGGTTGCAATAACGCATGCAATTTTACATTATAACCACTATAATGGCTTCTAACGTCTAAGAGTATCTGCAGCCACAATTTAGCAAGATTTAGAAATGAAGAATACGTCTTGCCCTATTTTTAAATGAATAGTTTACTTTTTGAATTGTTGTAAGATTTTTTAATCTGCTTGAAACAAGCCTCTACAGTGGAATTTTTGTCATTTAAAACAAAAGAAATTCTCTCCTCATTTTCATGAAGTTTGCATTTGAATATTCTAATTTGGAAATTAATATTCAAATATTTGATACTCGATCGAATATCTGGACACTTGGATATTCGGCACAGCCCTATGCAAGTAACCAATTAACTTTTATTCTGTTTGAGCAACCTCATACAAAACATTACATGTACCATACTTAATTTTCTTGAAAATCTGACCACAACTCACGAGGTTAAAACTATGGAAACCTACTACAATTCATGAAACGTGGCCTAGCAGCAAGCAGTTGAGATCTGAATGTCAGGTTAAGGACCGAGTACACGATACTCAACCTGTGCTCAGTCAAATAATGAGTACACATTACTCAGCCTGTGCTCAGTCCTTTTCAAATAAAAAAATGGGGCAGGTTAGGATATACATGTACATGTACCCTTCAGAGCTCTTTAAGAAAATGAAGAGAGGTCACGCTGTGGGTTCATCCACTGACCCCTTGACCTCTGCAGCTGATTGCTCAACTACATGTACCTGTGATGTCATGACCCTCTCCACTGAGGGGAAGCACAGGTTGAGATACATTGTAGTAACGGGTGAACCTGAACTTAATGGGCTTAGTTGGCCTGTTTTACATGTAGATGATGTATGATACGGTGTGCAGTGCACGTAGACAAAACCCAGAAAGGAAACTTGTACGGATGCATACAGTTTTCGAGTACACTCATAACGGTACATTACCGGGTATACATTTTCCCCTTGACTTTTTTATAAGCTAGTCTGACCAAATGACCCCAAATCTGCTGATGTCAATGAATGTATATCGCAGACTAATAACTGTGAGATGTTTCCCACCTTGCCAACTATTTTATGCATACATGTACATTTACCTGTCCATGTACATGTATGACACAGTTGAAATCTGCAGGAACCCATAACAGCTGCAGCGAAGGGTGAATTTTATTTATTTCTCGAGGAATTTTATCAACGATGCCCCTCTCTCACTCACCAAATTCAAAGCAGTGAACAACCCTCAACACAAGTTCAATACACTGTACATGCATAGAGGAAGGACACAGAAGGAGTTGCAACACTGGCACTTCAAAGTGTTCAATGATGGTCGCCGAGTCAGACAAATAATAGAAAACATTCCAAAAATGCCTGATTACTGCCCAGGCCTCGAAATAGTACTAGTCTGAAGTACAAATTCTAGCGAAAACTGCTCTTGGGCTACCTTAACTTGGTTCCCTGGTAGGCTTGTAAAAAATTCAGAATAAGCCTACCTGTTAAAACTTAGATAATAATATATAATGCTTTTCGTGATAATAAATACAAGATCGTAAAAACATCATTGTGGATGTGTTTTTACTCATGTTTTTGAAACGTGATGCTCGCGCGACAGGGCGATAAGCGACCCTGAACGCCACAAACAGAGCAGACTGGTGGGTTGTGGTACCAGCATAGCATAGCACATGGTACGGTGCGATACCGCAGGTGCACACTATTCTCGTTCACTGCTTAGGCCACTTCTGCTTCCAATTACATGCCTGTCAAAAATAGTATCAGTGGGTCGGAATTTTGTTTAGTCATATTTTTGTGCTGATGTAATAGCATGAACGGGGATGAAAGCTTCCAAAAATGGTCTCAAACAGTGATTAAAAACATGTCTTGATATATGTAAAAATTTCTGCAGTCGACAATTCACAAGAATTACGGACAAATCACACAATGCTAGTCAGGCAATCACGACGGCAAACTGGCCAGCAATGTCTGTGTATCGCATGGTAAGCGTCCATGATGCATCCAGACAAGCGGGCGATAAACTGCGTGCTGTGGCAGGAACTCGTGAGCACAGAAAATAGATACATGTACATAAATAAAAGACCAAGTTCTGTGAATTAACTTGCAAAAATCCTCTTGCAACATCAATGTTTTTCGACCTGCAGCTGTCTGGCTGCATGCGTGTACGACACCGATGTATTTTTATATTGACTCGTGACCAGGACATAAAGACTGCTTTGCACATTTCCCTTACGCATTCTTTTGCTTGGGTGCGGGAACCAGCGCAGCTTTGCTTTCATGCAATGAGCTTTGCGCAAGTGTTCTCACCACTGCGACAGTGAACGTGAAAATGATGGAAGTTTCTTTTCAAAAATTGCAAATGTAAGTAGGAAAACATTACAAAACATGCATTTTAACAAGAGAAAGGGTTGTTGAAAGGTGTTTTGTGAAGACAGAAGAGACATTGACATTAATTTTTTTTTTTAATTTATTTATTTTTTTAACTTTGTAAATTTGCTTTTCTAACTTGCCAATAAAAATGTTAGGGTCGCGCCGAAAAATTAGGGTCGGTCGGAAAACCGAAAACAGCAGTATTTTTGGGGGGCCTTAGCGAAAAATTGCGGCGGCAATCATAGGGTACAAAGGGGCTTTGTGGTTGTGAAACAGATGGTGAGTAGCAAGCGCTCGCTGTGCTTTGGCTACGGACATACATGTACTGGGCATGCCAAAAAACAGTAATTGGCCAGATGTTATAGCCCGAGTAATTCAAACTCCTTCTGTGTCCTTCCTCTATGATACATGTAACTTTTGTTTCACCTACATGTATTGTGCCTTTATCTTGTACATTGTACAAGCCCTATGAAGGAAAACCAATAAAAAGACAAATCGCAGCACATGCAAATTATTAGTACTTGGTCGTCTCATTATGAACAGAAAATTTACCCTGGGTTTTTAAGATTAAAGCTGTACATGTTTCTGCCAGGAATATGCAAAATGATGCTCTACAGATCTTGGGAACTGTGAATTATTCAATAGTGTCTCATAGATTTGTTATGTGCTTGTGACTGAAGGACAGGGTGTGGGCGACAAGTGAGGTGACTGGAATGTACATGTGTATGCATGGGACCACTGCACAGGCAGACTCAATCATCTAAATCTGGCAAGAAATGAGACCAAGGGGTACCCCCCAACATGTCCAATTGCTATACACACTGTAGACTATTGTTACCTAACACATCCCCCCCTAGATGTCTGAAAAGAATTCCTCAGATTCCAGTGAGGCAATGACCAACACAAAGCTGGGGGGGTTCTCTCTGTCTTATATCTTGCTTCATACCGTATGTAATCATCTGGGCTTTCATTTATTGAGTGTCAAATTCTCTCAGGTTCCAAATGAACCTTCTGTCACAGCCCGACATATCAACAGCTGCGATTCAGTGATTCTGAGGGCTGCACAGAGTACCGACGTGACTACATCATGCACACAACTGTGTATAAAAGGCATTTGTGTAAGAACATGCCCGAGAACCAACACAGGAACCGATACGCCATTTGCGATACGCCCGATATCCCATTTGTTTGCACAGCATTTTCTGGTTCAAAATGATGTTGCACTGCGGTGCTCTATAACAATCTCAGAACGTGATGCGCAGTATGGGGCTGGGCAAAATTTGCACAGGATTTGATGAGGCTGTTCACACAATCTGGACCGGCAATTGTTGAAACATTACCCTTTAACCTTCCCATTTCCTTTCAAATCTGCCAGGAGTTTGGAAGATTTTGAAGGATTTTGGGTAGTTGCAGGAAAGAACTACTGAGGAGTTAGAGTCATACCCACCCCCCTCATAAACAACGCAGCTACCCCCGGTATATGTGTTTTAATTTGTAAATGAATGTGTTGGTCAGAAAAATAATAACATCAATCGTTTTGGTAATGAGAGAATTTCACGATGAGTTTTGGCAAAAAGAAACAGGTGGCCACAGGTGGACAACTACTGCTGGTCTGCTGTACAGTAAGGAGTAATACAGGTTGGATCAATTACAGTCTGATTGCTCTTCATGGCAGCCATCAAACATTAATTGAATTGATAGAGTATAACAGTTACATATTTCCTCATTCCTGGGTGCAGCCCCTTTTGACCCTGTTTACACATGTACATGTAACCTCTGAGCCCAAGCACAATGAACTGTGCTTTGTGTGTCCAAACCTTTTTACACACGATGCACTTCCCCATCTGCCAGCATACATGCATGTTGAATGTGCATTAACCCTAACCCCAAGTACATGTACATGTATATGTAAAATCATATTGAAATTGGAGGATTTGGGACTGTTAAGGTTAATACCCCCTCCCCCATGTAACCTAAGAACTGAAATGAGTCAACCTTCCCCCACTTATTTTGAAAGAGGGTTCTGAGAGCAATGAACCGGTAACAGCATGCAAAAAAACCTAGCCTTAGCTGGACTCCATCCTCATTTTTGGCACAACACTGAAGGAATTCCTTGTTGTCAGCTGATCTCTCAATCGATTGGCCTTCCAGGCTAGTCACTTCCCTTGTAAGTGCCCTGCTTGGACATTTTCCAATTCACAGTAGCTGAACCCATATCCGGAGTGAGACAGGCCCATCGCTATTGAGTGTCAAAGCCCATTCAGGAAGCAATACTGTACAGCAATGAACCCAAGCACGTACCCTGCATCCGGTTGAGGATAGCATTGCCGAGCATGCCCATATACAGTAATATTTCAATCCCCTGCCCCCCCCCAACAAAAACATGTGCTTGGTGGTCACAGAAATCAGGAGATCCGTGTACATCCTCTAAGTTACACCTTATTCTACCATCTGCTTTACATGTACATGCAAGTCCAAAACACAACTGCTCTAAATGGGGATTGAACAAACAAACACTGTGCTGGTTCTGCAGCAAACAAGTGGTAGGCTTGGGAAATTCCACATTGGAATCAAATATAATTGACAGTGAGAACCAAAACAGTGGGTCCAATTCTTACGAAATCAACTCCTGTACCTCACTCCAGCACAGCCCCCTTCCCTTCAAAATTCAATTCCAGAGACAAGGAGTTGAATTTTGTGAGGCAAATGATCCATTTTTCTAGATGAGACCTCTTTGTGACCTCATGGAGGTCAGTTACAACAAACTTTTCTAGTAATGCTTTGGAGGTCTGCCATAAATTCAGGGGAGAGGAGAAGCTAGGAATAATTTGGAGTCGACTCTGAGAGTACCTCTGCATATTTTGGTAGATTGTATCTCCATTCTCGGACTTGCCAAAACTTCTGAAACCTTGCACCCTTTTTCAAAGTTCAGACAAACATGTTCTCTTAAATTTGATAGGGGTCTCTTAAAGGTCCCCGAAAATGGCTCTTGCCGTTTTTGGTCTGCGACCAATATGTTGATTTTCTATCACCTGTCGGGAATAGGAGATACTCACATGCAACAAGATGTAGGAGTCGCCCATGAAGAAGTGGCCGTAATCCTTCTCGGGGATTTTGGCCACTTTCATCTGTTCGATGCGCCATATCCTGAGCCCCTCCTTCTGGCCCACCCCCCGGAATTCTGGGTCCACCATGCCCATGCTGGTTGTGCCAAGGGTGTTCCGACTAACAGCAACTGTGCGCAGAAATGGCAAGAGAAAAAAGAGGTTACAAAAACCTGTGGCGAGTTCAACATCAACTGTGAAATATTTCAAGATATCAAATTGTGTGCAGTGAAACATTCCCATCTCCACTTGGTTTACTAATTAGGGCTGAGTCAATTCGAATAATTCAGCATTTGAATATTTGACCTTCAATTTGATCAAATATCCGAATGTTCGGTCGCACCAACCGGCAGATTGTTGATGAATAAACCATATACAAAATCAGTTGCAATAACGCACACAACTGTACATTATGATCAATATAATAGCTTCTCACACAGGAGTATCTCCAGCCGCAATTTACCAGTAGCAAAATGGAAGAGATGAAAAAGACTTCTTGCCCGTTGAAGATTTCTATTCCTTTTAAATTGTGTAATGAATAATTTACTTTTTAAATAAATGTAAGATTTCTCACTTTTTTCATTTGAATATGCTTGAAACAAGCCTCCACGGTGTAATTTTTCTCATTTAAAACAAAAGAAAATTTTCCCTTCCTTTAATTTCACGAATTTTGCTTTCGAATATTCAAATTCGAAAAATAATATTCGAATATTCGACAATCGATTGTATATTCGGTTACTCCAATATTCGGCACAGCCCTACCACTAATAATGTCCTGTGAGGTATCAGTGTCCACACTTTTTGAGTCATGCACGTGCTTCCAAGCTTACAAAGGAAAGTCAAGTTTCAGTGATACATGTACATGTAGTTGCATGTACACAGAGCCAATTATTGAATGAAAATTTTGCATCTCTTTGGAAGAAAGTAAAATATTTGGTCAGAGACACACAGGTACAGTGTAGCACAATATTTGAAAAACAAAATTTCATTGACTTCCTCCCAGTTGAGCATCTCAATAATGAACTTAATAAAAAACCTTTTGAGTACAATGCATTACAGCCTAATCACGCAATGGCCCTGGTATCAATACATGTACATGTACATTGTACCAGTAGTCAGGTACCAGGTCAGGTACGTGTACATGTGTACATAGTGTAAGGTGCATATCAGTACACAGTGCACTGATCTGAGACACCTGTTTACCAACGTATCCTTACCCTGACCTCCCATGGCACACACGTATTTGGTGGTACCGTGGTGATTCTGTTCTGTGAGCTCCTTCATGTTCCTAAATATCGTAGCCCAACTGTGTGGGGGAAATCAATATTGGCTTGCTCTCTGTATGGGTTGCTACACTGTACCTGTATACATGTACCAACACTCTAGGAGCCCAAGTCCCATGATAGCTGGCCCCTTCCTTCCTCAATCCTACTTCAGGTATATCCTCTGCTATTTCCCATAGACTCTGGTGATTTTTCTTGACATATACCCAGGCACTACTCCATCACTTCCCAATGTTCTAGCTACCGGTAGTTTCTTTCCATTAAGTTTTGTTTGCTTTAATAATTAAGCAAACAAGACACCTGTATTTGACAGCTGTTAATGCTGGATTCACCTTGTAGTTGGATTCAGCAGATTTCACACTCACATGGCCGGATCATGGCCCGATCATGGCCGGATGTACAAGTATTTTGGGATTCTAAAGCATGAGCTTTAGAATCCCCTCCCCCTACGGCCAGCAGATGGATTTCAATCCTCAACCCTAACCCCCCAGAGTGTACGTAAAATCACATTGAAATTGGAGGATGAGGACCGTTATTTAACTCTCTGGTAATGAGTCCCACACAGTAACAACTTGCCATGATATAGCTACATGTACATGTCATCCTCCCCTGCCTGATCACCCTACAAGCCACTTGATAACTGCGGGTACATTTAAAAGCAAAGCCAATTTGGGCATCTGCAAACATTTATGTACAGCAAAATTCGCTGGAGTTGAAATGTGCGCCATTTTTCAGAGCAGCATCACTTCCACAGCATGAGCAGACCTTTGAACCCTGCTGGCAAACCTAAAGACGAAATTAACCCTCCTATGCTAAGACACATTCTTGACACAGTTGTCATATCATCAAAATCAGTCAAATTTCCCATGTGTCTGTATACTGGGGGAAATCAAGTGGAAGGCATTTTTGACTGTTTTTGACGGTTAAAACAGAAGGTTAATGCAATTTGAAAAAGGGGGCGTGAGGGGATAAGAACGATCTGCTCATTCAGTACTCCTCCGCCAAGCTGCCTTTATTCAAATACAAGGCTTAAAGTGTCTCCATCAGTACACAAAGACTAGCAGCACCCAATCGAGAAGAAAACTTGCCTCAATCTGCCATTACATGTACAATGTACATGTCTGTGTATAGTATGTAAGCTGAGACAGTTTTCAACATCTACAAAAGTAGGCCCAACTTCAAAACAAACATATTGAATGCCATGTTGATGGATGGGTCAAGGTAAGTTGTGTGTGTACATGTACATAGTTGTATTGTGGCGACTCTACAACAGAAAAGATACATGTATGTGGGCATTTGTATTTAGAAAGCAAGAAGCGATTCGGTTCAAACTAAGCCAGAAAAGTACCTTTTCTTCTCGACGTGATAAAAGAATAATTACGTACTGTGTGAAACATTCAAGGCTATTCAACCGCTTCAAAGGCTTGACTGTCTTCAACTGCTTTGGCCTTTTGTGTGATGTGGGCTGGTACAGTACATGTGTACATTACATGCATACACTCACGCACAAGTACGTACCGCCTACCAGCACAATATACTGTACGTGTACATGTGCATGTACGAAATGTCTATGGATAGAAGCACACAACCTACAGCCCACATTTGCCAGTTCGAGCGGGTTCTGTGACCCCCTTCGTAGGTTGTGATGCAGTGAAAGCAAAGATTATTGTCACAGAGCTGTAAGGTTGACAAAAGAATCAAGTTTAGCCATGAATGCACCAACACATTCACTTCACCTCGCATATTTTCTGCAGACACATGCCATCACCAGATGCCTGCACACTCCATGCAGTGAGTATAGGATGTTAAAAGGGCATAAGATGTTCATTACGTCAACGCATAGGCTTCACAAGTACATGTAAGCACTGTCACAGGAGATAAGGCCAAGTAACAAAATAAATTTGTTTTTGTCCCGCCTTCCTTCAACCCCATGCCCCAGTATTTTTAATAATTAAGTACTCTTGCCCTTTTGTTTTTTTCAAATGCACGAGTATCTAGTGCTACCGACAAATGCACATTTAAAAATTCTTAACAAGGGAAAAAGATCCTTAAGACAGGACAGTGTCAGCAAAAAAAATAAGAAAAATCCATCCGCCTTCTGTGGACAAGGCCATCTTTTTAAGAAATAAAAGCTGCCTCCTACCCGTTTAAAGAAGCCAGACAAAAAACCTGACTCAACAACTAGCTGATGAGAAGGCAATTTACTTTTGGAGGATGACGTACATGTACAATGTACATGTGTACGTGCAGATGTGCCACCACACAGCGTTACCAGTCTGCTTAAGAATGTATGAATAGAATCACATGTACAATGTAGTATCATTTCAATAATCAAGTACATGTACATGTGCATGTACACCTGTTATTCTAATAAACGGATTTAAGCAAATCTGATGTCTCCTTAAATTAAGGTGTAATGCATTCGCTCAGTTTTGATGATGGATTTGTAGCATGTTGCATGGACCTGAATACATACAGTTATCACACGCAGACATTGTTGTTCTTTGAGGAGGTTCCTGGGGAGGGGGGATTTGATAGGATGTCAGGCTTTAAATTACTATCAATACAAACTTTGGAGGAGTTGTTCAATTTTAAGTGCTCGAAATTATTGTACAAAACTGCATGTGCACCGAAAATCTAACAGACTAGCACACAAGTCTAAGGGCCCCAATTCATTAAAAAAAAAACTCTTATCCCAGACAATCAGACTAAATCAATAAAATGCACATGGGTGATCCAAAAGGAATTGGACTCCCGAGATAGAACCATTTATTGTGACTGGACTTACCACCCAATCAGAGGACTATCATACCACATTAATGCAGGCTTACATCAGACTAGCTGAAAAGCTTTCTTGGTGGCTTAGTGACCCCTAGGTGTTTGCTTACAGTGATAACAGTTCAATAACAGTGGGCTTGATAGAGCACTTGACTCCCTTTACTCTCACGGTTAATTTAAATTGGCCACAGAAACTTCTTCAGGTCCCAGGAGCCCGGGCAGATACAATTCAACAAACTCCTGGCAACTGGGCAAGTCTGTCCCTTCCTTCAAGACAAACACCGGCGATTACTCACCGCATGGCAACAAAAACGCAGAGCCATACGGGGACTTGACAAGTCTAGCTAGTACCCCTGCACACAGCGGCTTGCCACACCCACTGACATGTGCAGAACTATATATGGACATTGACCTTGTATGTCTCACTCAATGGCACACCTTCCCCTGTTAGGGAGGAACAATGAGCATAGGCTAGGAACACAATAACCTGTGTCTACCACATGACAGAACGCTGTGCAGGACTGTACCTGTGTGAACCAATGACACCGTTACATGTGTATTCAATGTGTGTGACCACATGTGGCGAATACCTTGCACGGCAAATCCACAACAAAGAGAATGTTTCATTTGCACTCTATTTGCAAAGAGACACTGAATCCATCCAAACAAATGTTAAATTGGTTTGTTCCTTGGGCCTATACAAAAAAAAAAAACCAGGCTCAACTATTACTTGCATTGAAATCAGGACCAAATTCCATGCATTGGGGCTGTTAGTTGGGGGAAAATTAATTTGGCACAAAGAGTACACATGCCATATTAAAAAATCAATTTAACGGGAAAAAAAGTTATGTGGTCAAGTATTTTAATAGGTAGTTACAAAACTAGAAATAAAATACCAGTATCATAAGGCAAGATGATATTTAATGTACATGTGCTGTCACACTACGACTAGAACTTCTAAGAATACATGTAAATGTATTAACATTGTACATGTACATAGTGTATTATTTACAGTATCTCTGTATTACAGTACAGTAAATTGATTTACATGTACATGTATGCATGCATGGCTAATGGTACATGTACAGTACACTATGTATTACAGTATACAGTAGCTGCACTGTATATAAAAGACCAACATCTGTTTGTGGTTGTTAATGGCAAATTTTTAATTTAGGCCCAAAACGCACAGAGTCCACCATATGAAAAACACTCATTTACATGCAGTTACATACGTCTTCACATGTACAGTACATGTACTGGGGATTACTGAAAACATTTACAAACTTGTACTGGTACTTTTCAATGAAAAGATCGACACTGAGCTATTTCTTAAGTCTCAATTTTTTTTTCAATTTAAGCACCCGTGCAATAACTGACCCTCAGTCTGGTTACATTTTGTGTGGTGAATGAAACTGGCATTCTTTTCTCTGTAACAGCAGTTCATCCATTACCTCTGCACAGCCACAAATGATTTTCAACCATGCTGACACACACACACAGATCCTCCTACCCGTAGATAATTAATTGTGTCTTACCACAAAAAGCTCTTCTTACTGGCAATAGAATTGGAACTGGAATTAATGCAAGGTGGGCGTATCAGCCAATCGGTAAAGTGTGTTTAACTGTGTATGCATGACGGTGTCATTAACATACCGAATTGGTCGATAGCACTTTGCTATCGGCCCATCCTGGAAGAAATCGCTGACTTCACGTTCCATTACAAAAACCATTTTCCCATAACCCTGAGCTAGAAAGAAAACAGTGACTGAGCGATGGTGGCACACAGGCTCATTAAATTAATCTATGATAGAATGCAGCACTATCAAGTAACCATGCAGATCAACTGATCGCACCCAAGACCCACTCTCTGCACTCACCTTTTCTTGTAAACTAAAGTACATGTACATGTAGGTGTGAGACAATGTGAAAATGGGCTTCTTTCCCATTTGAAGGTTGGTTGCAAAGAGTTCCATATACCAGTACGGACAACACTTTATGCCCCCGGGCATAAAGTGTTTTCTGAGTAAATGCTTCAGAATTCTCCTCGCGAAATTTCTCTTTTGGGGACACGTTCTCACTTTCTGACAGCTGCTGTAACATTTTAAAGGAAAATTATTGTTGTCCGTAGTTCTTTTTCCAGTTGGTTTAAATATGTACAGTAAAATAACCCCCCCCCCCAAAAAATCAATTTCTCTTTCATGTTTGCGACAGGGTACCATAAGCAAAAGTGGACAAATACAATGAGAGTCCACTTGAAACAGAAAGTTTGGTTTTGTCTAGAAACGGAAAGAAAAGCTGGCTTAGGCCATGTCCAAAACGGGCTTCTAGAGCTACAGCTAGGTCTATTGTCTGCGCATCTCCACGTACTTTCAATGGAGTGAAGACCTAGACCTACATGTACATGTACTCTAGACCTCTAGACAACGGATTCGGATGCAGCCTTAGTATTGGATCCATTTATGGGGCTCCTGTTTGTGAATTCCTAGGTAATGATACTGACTGACAATGCTTACTTTTCTGAGGAAGAGTTCCGTATACGGATCCCAGTAATTGTTCCTTACAGTGACCTAATAGCCATCAGAAAGCAAAAGCGTGCCCAAAAAAGTTCAATTTAGGTTGGAAAAAACCAAGTCATTTACTTAGAAAACACTTAACATTTTTCAGACCAGTCCCATTTAGGATTTGTACACAGGGTGTCAATCATCGTCCGTATTCTTTCTCTTTTCTGACATGTCTCTATTTTTGTTAACATTTTATCTTCTTACATCAGTTTCAAATTACCTTTGTAGCCTTCGCATGCTTGGGGAAGTGGAGAAATAAGGAATTATGTAAGGGAGAACATTGTTAGAATATGAGAAAATTCTAACCAATTTTGGCAGTTCAAGACATGTATCAATATATGTACATGTACCTCACATGCCACATTTACAAAGTACCTGGGTCATGTTCGAAGGATTGATTCCAGTGTGGCTGTGGGCCTTAGGGCCTGTGTGTTTCGCAGAGATACAGATCGCGATCAGTTATTTGTCATTGACTCACTGAGTTTAAATCAAAACCCGCATAAAAGGATGGAGTGAACCAACACTGGCATGCCTGGGACCACTGGTCAGGATTCATTCATTCTTTATTTTACCACGTAACTGTCAATTATAATATGTCATGATTATAAGCAACAAAAATTCATGTGAATGGGGGGTCCCAAGAAGCAAAAGGTTGTCAAGCAGGATTCTCCAGAACATTAATTAACATCACATAGCACAACTAATACACATACATACACATCAAAGAACTAAACCCAAAAACAGTAGGTCCAGTAACCCTGGTGAGACATGTTAAGAATTAGACCAATTAAAGTCTAAATAACTAGAGAGTAATTTAACCTTAATTTTTTTTAATAAACAAATATTCTGTATACTTCTTAAAGAATCTTCGTACCTAACTGTATTTTGAGTAGCAGTGGTACAGTCATGTCAGTCTGTCCCCTCCTTCCTCCATGGTCTGTCATTGTGAAACAAACAGACCATGGAAGAAGGAGGAGATCCCCTCCTTCCTCTATGCTTAGGCTGACATGACTGACAGTGACACTAGTTAGGCCTAGGCCCTTAAATTTATGGAACTTGGATAGGAACTTGGAAGACATGCATGACCTGATGACATGGGGAAAAAGCCATGGCAGCTGCGTTGCAAGTTGGACTTGGAGCAAAGATAAAAACTGGCCAAAACGTATCATCGCTATTTGCAGCTCACAACAATAATCAGACTCAGGCACAAGTGACAGGAGTTAGATATCTCTTTATCTGGATGTAGACCTGCATACTGGAAGTCATTGAGATTGTATGGCCAAGCACAGTAAAGCCCCAGCCATTAAGGCTATATGCCCATGCCAATCTCTTGCCCGGCCGGCTCCGTGACCGTGACAAGTTTTACTCCAATAATAAACACGTTTACCGAAATGTCAGTCTACCTTTGACGCACTGTGCAATTGAATAACACCTCCACAGCGTTCTCTGTAATTTCCACTAATTGCACTGGTTTTCTTACCTTAAAATTCCGACGAAAACTCGAATTCCAGAAGATTCCAGCTCAGTCAAACTAGACGCTAAAGCGGTACATGTGGTGCAGGGATATGGGATCAGACATATCCCTGCTCAATGGTACTCGTGCATCTCAGTCAAAATGACAACGGCGTGGAGGGAACCAACGGTGGGAACACACCCAATGAGCTGCGTCTAAAGTATTAGTAAACTTGTTTAAGTCGTTCGTGATCAATTTACCTCTCGAACGGGTACGTTTTAGTTGCCAAAATAGCTAACTTCGCGTGAACCAGTTTTAAATGCAACCAAATTAACAGTTGAAATACTCAATTGAAAAAGTCTATCAAAATTTACAAAACTTTTGGAATGCAATGTTATGACATGTTCTTGTAAAGCTTTAACGCAAGGGTGGAGTAGGCCTTGTTGTCGGGGACAGAGTCCACCTTCATATTGTACGAAGTTTGTTGGAATTTGGAGTTGGCGTGGGTTGTGTCTTCATGCTGTGGGAAGGTTGCTCTGACGTCACATCAATAGAGTGTGTGAAGGAAAAAGTCGAACCAACTATCTGGAAGAAATTAAGACGAAACGATGAGCCTGTGAAAAAAGGGTGAACCGTTTCCCTGATATCAGGGTCTAATAAGGCACTTGCAGCATAATAACAATCCATATTTTTCATCTCATTTCCGGCAAAATGTGACTTATGTTAATTCTTTCAAAGTAATGAATTTTCAGTTTGACAAAGAAACTTGACCATAGATAGATCTGAGCTTGCAAGGTTCAATCGTGCAGTTAACTACGTCTGAACCGTGCATGCCATGCACGTTATGTCCCTTGTGAGCGCTGAGGGCGCTATCAACCCTCGAGGAACTATACCAGTGCATAACCATTATCTTGTACGGTCTTCTGAAATTTTGTTTTATATGCATATTAATGCATTTATGTTTGTGTCCGATCATATGAATACATAACACGAGATTACACCACGCTTATGAAGAATTAAGACAATCTTTTCACTCTTTAGAAGCGAGAACAATATTTAGGGCCAAGATATTCGGTCCAATGATGCCGTTAATTGTCATGACTTTTAAGCCTCGTCATAAAAGGTATTTGACATGTACACGTGTCTCATTATTATGACTCGTTGTATTTAAGTCATAATATTTTAAGTTATACTAAGTCATGATTATGGCTGTTCTATCAAAAATAAATCCATAAACTCTTGAGTTATATCGACTTTGTATGTAGGCCCTTCAAACTTTCCAGTTTAACCCTTTACTTGATCATTCATGGTATCTCAGACATAGCAAGGAATTTTACAATGCTTGTGAAATTCCGTTGATAAAGCGCAATGGTCACAATATTAGGGGCACCGACATCTTTGTATAACTCTTTGCTTATCCATTCAAAGGTAATATTCCGAAATGTATACCAAAAAAATATATAAAGATCAATTTCCAAAGCATTTGAAAAGCACTTTTTACGCCCGTCCTAATACCTATAGAGCCAGTAAAAATTCTCGTATGACTGCTGTGCAGTTCCAGTTTTAGCGCAACTTTTTCTTTCAATCGCAATATATCACCAGATTTAACCCCCTTCCCATCCATTTTTATACATGATCTACTTTTCAGGTGATATACTTAAAAACATTTTCTTCCTTGCAAGAACTTTATGGAAAAAATAGATTGCTTTCGCTCACAATCTTGAAAGCAACGCGGAAACAGCGCGAGGATCGAAACGTCAGGCTCTCTAATTTTTTCGAAGCATGATTTTCCAAAATCAAAGCTGAATGATATCTCCCTCCCTTTTCAAATAGTTGGCTTTTAAATAATAGATTTCTCATAGTAACACCCAATATATAGTACCGAATAGGCTCAACAGAAGAAGGGATTAAAAGGTGGATGGCTTGTGCTGTGTCTAGTACTGTGTTATATTCAAGCGACTGACTACAAGTCAGTCTGGTTTAACAGTTTGCCTGCGCACTGGCAGGATAAATTGCTTCAAGGAATTGGAGTCAAATATCCGAAGGATGTGTCTTTATGTGGTGAAGAGATTAGAGTTCACCCGTTTACGGAACTTGGTGTGATGTCCAAAAACAGTTAAATTGCAGTGTCATAGACGCGAATTGTGGAAATGATTGCGAAAAAATCGTTTGGAAGGATCAGACCAAAGGTATCAGGGAAACCAAACAGACCAAAGGAGCACGGTGCGACAAGTGTAATTGAAAGTGCGAGAGAATTCGAAAAGGAGTGGGTGGAAACGAACCTAATGCAGGGAATCTTGAGAAGGATCTGCTCGTAGAGGGTCAACGTGGCACCTTAATTAAACAGAGTATCCCCCTCAGCACAAAAAAAAGAAAGAAAAGAAACTTAACCCAAACTATATTTTTGACATTTATCTGTCAGTAATTGTTTTTGTAATGTTACACTAGGCCTATCTGTTCAAAACTGAAGACTTTATTGGCTTAAATTCGGTGATGCGCTGCGGAGAAATCTCGATTGAGACAACTGCTTTTTGGTTCTGGGATTTACCTGAGCAACTAAAATGCTATGTTTCCGTCATTTAACACCCTTTACAAGAGGCTTTAGACAGGACTACAGAATGGGAATAATGATCTGAACAGGGTTCCGTTGAGTTATGGTGATAACGGTTATTTGGCATCAGCAAATGGGGTCTTAACATGGTTCAAAGTGGGCAATGCCGTCAGAGTAAATAAGATCACGGCTGCTTGTCACAAATTTACTGAGGTGAACTGGACAAGTTCAAACAAACTCTGATACAAGTTCAAACAAACTCTGGAACTGCAAACTCTGACCGGGGGAAAGAATTAATTAAGCAGCCATTGCCTTCAAAATTAGGTATTAATTGAACGAGTTTCGAACTAGAAATGTTTGGATTACATTTTTGGGACAAACTGTTCTAAAAGCTGTGTTTATGCTCTACCGACGACAAAGTTGTACCCCTGTAAACCTACATTTTCGAAATGGCAAATGCATGTGCACGCCTGATTTCAGACTGAGAAGAAATCCGGTTGACAAATTCTGTCGACAGAAGAAGAAAACAACTGTAATGTATATTTTGAACACATGGGCGGCTTAGGTGCTTTCATTAAAAAAAAAGCATTGAAAAATTCAGATGCAGGAAGGGGGATGGTCCCGCCCATGCAGGATATGACACACCGTGAATCCAACGGAGGAATTCTAGGTACCCCACCGGAAGTGCTCTGACCTGACGAGTCGCAGTGGTTAAAGCTACCGCGTGATTGACGGATAAGCTGACAAGATCTGCGGGGGGGGGGTTGATATGAAGCTAACGGAAGATTTGAAGTATAAAGAAGTGAAAGTAGTGTGTTGCTTTGTCTTGCTTTATTGGAAGGAGGCTATAATACTACAAGGAAAACAGGAAATAAACCCAACCGTGTCCGGTGACATCATTGGGTACGGGGCACGGTCCCCTTAACAGGATTCCGTGACCTGGGTGTCCACCATTAGAAATATTGAAATACAGACAACCTACGCACAAGCAAAAGTTAATTTCCTTTAGCGCCCTTAAAAAAAAAATACATATATGTGTGTGTGTGTGTTTAACCCAGGTGTCACCTCGGAAATTTCACCCTAGTTTATACTGACCGTGCCCTCTCCGTCCCAGTTAGCACAGCCCGAAAGAACTCGGCTTACCGAGATGTTAACGCCCAGTTGGATGGGCCTAGACCTACACATTTGTGACAATACAATTGCGTGTCAGTAGAGAATTTCCTTCTTTCCAAACAACATGAAAAGCTAAAACAAATCGCTTTCCAGGGGGGGGGGAATCATTAACAACAGCAAAGTTCAACACAGCATCTAAGCTTTGTTAACCATACCAGCACTAACTCTTGATAAAGTTAACGCTATAGATTTGATACCGCTTATTTAGTGGTCAATTACACAATAATTATTCCAAGCACATGATTGGTCATCAAAAGTTAATGTCAGACAACATTTGAAATCGTGTTGTGTTTTGCACTGACTTTGTGAGAGTCAGATAATGCCACGTCCGGGTGTTACGGTCGTCTGGATGCTTCTACTCGGAAGATGACGTCAGTCTGCCTCGCAACCGGTCACACAAACTTCAGCTTGTAGGGTATTTAAGGTCAAGCTTGAAGAGTCGCTGTCACATTTGAAAACGAACCCTTCACACAAGCAGAAAGCTTTTTTTGTTTGAGCTAACTTTATACTACTCTGTACGCATTAATTATTTTTGGAGTTGTTTCAAACTTCAAAATATGAAGTTGACTTGGGCATCAGCAGTTGTGCTGGTTGCAGTGGTGCTATCGGCACGAAGTAGTACTTCGTTACCAGCGACCTCGGTAAGTCGGACTTAAGAGTTTCCAACGCACTTGCAAAAAAAATATTTTCATGATCACGAATATCTTTAAAGATCACGTTTTATGTGTTCAGTTTTAGTGCTTGATTTTGTTGATTGCCTCAAGGTAGAGGATAACTTTGCCATCACCGAATAACTGCCGTAACCAAGGGGTCCAGGGAAGCACACTGCAAGGGAGGGGGGTTCAAAGCCGTAAAAGCAAAATCTGGATGGGGAAATTAATTTGGTTAAATAGGATATTTGACAATATGCAAACAAAGGTCTGCCAACACACCTGGTTGAGATGATTAAATCTGATTTATTACTCATTCCGTCGTTTCTAGAAAAGCTTCACCTCAGTTTAGTCTGATCTCTGAATTTCAAGTACTTGTCTTTCGAAGTGAAACAAATATTTGAATGGTGTTTAGAAAATCTCACCATGTGGGCAAATACTAATATCGAATAAACAACGTATTCATGGAACTCTTCTCGGAGTGAAATGTGTTTGTGACACGCACATACACACAAAAAACCAAAATCAAACGATTTTTTTCATAAACTAGGCCTATTGTTAGGTTTTATGAACAAAAATGAAAAGACTTTAAAGTAAAACGCAAACTGATGAAACTTGACGTTGATTTGTGCACCTTTGAACTCGCACCGTGACTTTATGTCGTGAAACTTTTCAAGCTCAAAAAACCTGAAGTTTCTTATGCTTTACCTTCCTCTAGTTGTATGCTATAGCTAAAACCCTATGCACCCAAACAATGCAAGCACAATGACAGATATGAACAGGTTTATATCAAAACTCTTTCCGAGGACACACCTTACCAATTCTACAAGGCAAACAGGTGCAATTTCGAATGGGGTCAAGGCTGCAAAACAGGAAACACACTTTAACTTCCGACGAGTGTTTTTGCAATTATTGAGGAAGGGTGTTTGCAATTCTCTGGTGTCTTTACCTGGAAATACCAGGTTTTTGCACTTTTTTGACCGAGGAAGTATTAGTTATTGATACACCTTGACCTCTTGAGCACTTGACAGCGAAGGGTACAGCTGGGAATATTGTAATCATCATACGTGGTCAAGAAATTTGGTCAGTAACCCCAGAGTCAAAGGCCGGTTCATAATTCACACGAATTTGGAAGTACGCAGTGAATTTGCTATGACGACAACTCTGAGGCGAAATTCCCTGATGTTGAAATTTACAATTTTCAAATTCTGCGAATTCGAAGGGCAGATAATATAATTACCGACATTGCACTTTGGTATATTAACCGGTTCCAACACGATTTTTCAGCGATTGTCCTCCTAATTCATGCACACAATACAATTGCATAATATTCCTATAGCAGTGAACTTGAAAAGGGGGTGTACTGAGTTTCTGCAGCTGGTATGGGAAAAATGTAAACTTTTTCAGAAAATCAACCTTAGTTTTTTATCAATATGAAAAATAACAATTAATGGCTTTGAGATGTCATTGTTTTAAATATACTACCAACATCAAGTCTTTAAGTAGTCTTTTTTCGTATTTATCCTTTCTTTATTGCATAAAATGACTGTTACAACTTCAGGAAACAGGGATTAACAAAGTAACTTCACTCCAAACACCTTCCACCATTTCAAACAATTCTTTTGTGTAATAAGCAGGATGGGAACGACCTCACGCAGGAAGACATCAAGAGCTACTTCGGTGAAATCACGACGGTTTCCAAAAATGGTATGCAACGTGAAAAGTCCTACAATACACGTATTATGTTCCACAATGTCCCACGAAGTTTTTATTGTGACAAACCGGTACGAATTTGGCAAGAGTGTTGAATACCCTCCAAACCCAATTGGTTCGCTGCTATACTACAGGTGATGCGTCATACGACATCGTGGACATTTGGGACCAGTCGTCCTTCTCGGCAGACAAGCTCCCCGTCCGCCACGCCGTGCCCCATCGCCACCAACACGACGTCCATTTTAAGGCCTTCCGGGAGGACTTCCACCTCCGTCTACACAAGAATCCTTGGCTGGTCCGTGAGGGTTTGCGCATGGAGACGCTCGACAAGAATGGGACGGTGGTGGCGAGCGAAGCAGTGCGGCGAGATTGCTTCTACTTCGGGGACGTGGTGTCGCACAACAGCTCGTCAGTTGCGGTCAGCAAATGTGACGGCTTGGTAAAAGAAGTTTATTACCTATTTTCTCGCCCACAGTGCTTATAAAAATGACACCCATTCTCAGTAGATAATTTGCACGGTTTTGCAGTTCAATACGACAGGAAAGTACAACGAAGTGAACAAATAACAGGCAGGGCGAGCTGGGTAAAGTCTTTCAACTTTTCTCGGCTTTGTGTTGAGCTGTCGTCAGGCCAATTTTCACCACACTGCATACCTGTAAAACCGCAATATACAGTTGATTCCATTACTTCTCACTCAAAAGGCAGGAGTTATCGGTTACGGACGACACGACATTTTCATCAAACCGTTGCGAAGTGACCACGCGGAGCAATACAGACGGAGGCGAAGAGATGCGGTCGATCCTCACATCGTGTACAGGCGGTCGGCGACCGATGGCGACCCAACAGCACACTTCTGTAGCCCACCGCCCCGTAAGCAAAATAGGGACAGACTTCTACTCGTAAAAAAGCACTGTGGTGCAATGCTCATGTTCAGTATTTGGTTGGAATTAATTGTCCTCAACTCTTTTGAGATTTTTCGTGCATTCTATAATACAGCAGTATAGCCATAGGTTAATAATGGCCTATACGCGGGGCACTAAGATTGAACGAAAACAATTTTCATTGACGACTTTTGTTGTTTTGACTGATAAAAATTCAAACCAGATATTTTATTAATAACAATGTCATTGTTTTGAAGTAGTTGACCAACTGCTGGTGAATGGTGGCTTGATTGATATGAAGTCTCTTACAAAAGGTCGACCTCATATAGATTGTTTTAACGATAATCATTGATCAATACGTGTTTGTCTCTGAATAATTAAAAAAAAATTTATTAGAAGTTCACTGATTATTGAAACAGAGGATATAGACGAAATTGATTCTGATTATCAATAATCTGTGCCTTTACATACTACCAGCTATGAAAGACCCCGAGACAGGCATGACCGTAGATGAGGAGATGGTGGCCGCCTTGGGCGGGAAACTCCTACCGTCCTCACTCCAGACAGGACAGAAGTACATGGAGCTTATGATTATGGTGGACAATGAGATGCGCAAACATCACGACAACAATCTGCAGTCTTACGTCACGACCCTGCTAAATATTGTGAGGATCCAATATTTTTTAATTGTGGAGAGAGGACATCCCCTCCCCGGGAAAGATAATGACGAGCATTGGGCGGGGCTTGGAATATTTCATTTTCCCTTCCCCCAGAAATTTGGCCACAACCCCTTGGAAGGGCTACAAAGATTACATAAAAAGTCTCTGTATTTTTGCCCTTACGCCCTCCCTAAATAACAATGGCCCCATCCTTAAATTCGGTTTAGGTTCCGCCCTTACTCGCGTTTCATAAAACTGGAAGAGCTGCAGAGTGAAACGACGAAATATCTGCTGAATGATTTCCCTCTTTTATTTAGCAAAGGAAACAAAGTAATTTCATAGCACTAGTGTGAAGGAAATGACAGTGCATTTTTTGCTCTATTAGTCAAAGGTGAAACTATACTAAAAAAAGTGAAACTGTTAATCCATCAAAACATCCGCAGGCAGGGCAACACAGACGGTTAACACAGCCGACTGATCATTTCTTTCCAGGTCGCGCGTCGGTTCGTGGATCCCAGCCTGGGTGCCAACCTCCGCATTCATGTGGTCAAGTTTTACGTCTTGCAAAGCGACGAAGTAGGCACGGTAAGCGCAAAATGCGAAATCTTGCAAAGTCATCTGCGGTTCCTAACACGAGAGAGCGATAGTGCTAGTAGGTGGGGTGTTTGGGAGCGTCAAAAGAGAACTTAAACTTCAATAAATAAAGGAGAATGCCAGCTTGCGGTTATGTCACACACTATGGGGCAAATTTCCAAGACTTTAACTGCTGCTTCAGTTTATATGATCCGACAAAATGCTACGTAGACATCATGCCTCAACTGTAAAAAAGGCTTTCATTGGCAAAAAAAGCTGCAGGGATTTGAAATTGAAAATGAAATAAAAGACATGGATTTTGTTATCTCACTTTTATCAAATTGATTCACTTCTTCTTCAAGGGGTCCGACGGGTTTTCGACGGAGGATGCATTTACCGTCACCAGTGATGGCTACCAATTACTGAATGACTTCTGCCAGTGGCAAGGAACGAAGAACGAAGTCGACGATGCTCATCCAGAGCATTGGGATAATGCCATTCTCATCACCAGGTGGGATGAAAAGACTTCATGCACTGCTCCCTTTTATAGAATCCTGCACTGGTGGTCAAAATCGCTTCCTGAATCTTGAATGCTGTGGAGCATGCTCTTTGATCAGCTGCTAATGTTTCAGGCTCTCCCCTTTTCTCTTCCTCGATGTCATATTTTAGTCGTGTTGCAAGGGTCTGCTTTGTCGTACTTTTCTTCTCTTCCCTGTTTGTTTTGCTCCTCCCTGCTCTCCTTAACTTTTCTCAGCTTTTTAAATTTTTGAATTCATCTGAATGCTGATTCATTCTCGATGCTCTTTTCTGCTCATCCCTACTATCCTCATGCAACTCTGTCAATGTGTCCTCCTCAGTTTGTTTTAATTGAAATGTGTTAGTCTTTTCATCTGCCTGGCTCTACTCACCCCATCCCTTCTCATCTCAAGGCTGGTTTTGCTCATCGCGATGTTGCAAAACCTGTCAGTTACACTTCTTGGTATATTTCTATAGCGCTGCCGTGTTATCTCTAATCTATAGATTCACTAGAAAGTGGATCAAGGTGTTATTACCATACCTAATTCCACATCATATCGATGCGATGCATCCATGTGGCGGTTAATGTTAAGGATGTGCTTGCCTCCTTTGATATTTGTTTCTTCTTAGGTACAACCTAATCGACCCCACTGACGGCTCCGATTCACTACTTGGCCGCGCCCCAGTAGGCGGCACCTGCCGTCACTACCAGCAATGTTCTGTCAACGAGGACGATGGACTGGGCAGTGCCTTGACAATTGCCCACGAGACCGGTCACACGTGAGTAGACCTCGCAAGGGTTTTAATATTATTAATCTTAATTTTGTAAAATTAATGCTGGTCAAGTCATGTTTCAGTCAAAGGAGAGGGAAATGGCAGACGCACTGCTCAGAACAATTTGACGTTTTTAGATGGTGTCATCACCTCGTCTTTGTCTGACCTTCAGTACGTTCTGAGAATTTACTAACATATAAATGTGATATGTAATGAATAACAGTTCTATGAGATGTAGGCTTGCGGGTACACCATGGAATTAATCTCTTTTTGGTAGAGGTGTGGTTCTTAGAAGAACCGGTGAGTGTTGACTCGACTGATGAGTCAACACTCACCGGTTCTTCTAAGAACCACACCTCTTCTAGACACTCGAAAATCTACCTGCATATTAGCAAACGAAGAGCGTCTTGGTGCCGATGGAAAGAAAGAGAGCCTGGGGGAGGGGGTCTGACTTGCCGCTGGGTTTCTGGATTGCAAGTTAATATAGAATTCGAGAACTATCTTCAGCTGATTGAAATAACTTCACTGATAAAGAAAGAAACTGCTTAACCACATTTTATAACAGTGGTACTTTGTTTAAAAAAAAGATCGTTCTCGTTCTCTTATTCTTTCTAGGCTGAATTTGAATCATGATAGCACTTACGGCTGCCCTGACGGTGTTAACATCATGTCTGGGATTCGATCGGCTGGTGCAGGTGCTCTGTCCTGGTCCATGTGTAGTCAGACCCACGTCCAGGAGTTTCTCAGGTAAGTCCACCTTCAGTGATGCCCCTTCTTGACTGAAACGTTCAAACCAACGGATAAAGTGCTGATTATTGTATAGGGCCTTCATGAAATACGAAATGTTAAATTTACTTTTGAAAAGTTGACTTCAACAACGATGTCTCCTGGCACATAAACTGGACAAATCATTTACACAGTAATTGTGACTAGCATCCAAATTTCTTGGAAAGTGTGTAAAATCCCCCAAATAAACCCTTACCTTTCAGAATGGCCATGAAGGTTACCTACCCCCCCAAAAAATCAAGTATTAAAGTAACCAACGAGCCATAACAACAAAATAATGTTTTAAATTAACAGCCAAGTGTCATGTAAGCGACAACATACCTGGGGAGTGCTAATAAGCAATACCCTCTTTTTTCTTTCTTTCCGCCGATACCAGAAACCCTGTCAGTAATTGCCTTAATGACGAACCTCTGGAATTGCCGGTCTCCGTGAACGAACTACCAGGAACCATCTATAGCTATGCCGACCAATGTCAGCTGGCCTTTGATAGTGACCGCTACACAATGCCTGTGAATGGACAGGTAACTTGAAAAAACACTGTAGCCCAGAAGCAAAATTTTACCTAATTTTCATGTATCCTTTGAATAAAAGACTAAATATTACATTACACTTCATTTTGAATTAGGATCGCACATACTTCACAGCATAATTAAGAAGGGTAAAGTTTGCGGGGGGAATTTCAGTCCTGGATCCTCATTTTCTTGAAGGGATTCTCATATTTCTTTCTTCAAATTTTCAAGTAGACGCTCTTGTAGTGCCTCCACTTGGCCCTTCTTGCATAGCTACACTATTACTTACACATTAAGCGGAGGTTTTATTAGTGAGGAAGAGTTTTGTGTGGCGTGGTGAGTAATATGGGTATTCCTGTGCAATTTCATGCAGGTGGATTGTAGTGTATTGGCTTGCCAAGATCGTAACGGTGCTTGGCGATCCAAAGGTGTTCCAGTCATGGAAGGGACCGATTGTGGGACTGACAAGGTAAAACTATTATTTTACTTTGGATACTATGCAAATAATGTAGATTTTCATGAATTCAGCCTAATCTCTTGGAACATAATTTCATGTCTCGTCAAGAAATTATTTTGACAATTTCAAGGGCAGCTCCAGAACCCTTTTTTGGGTGGGGGGGGGAACATTTTGGGGGGCCAAAATGTTTGAAATTTTTCATGTAACATTTATGGCCTTTCCAAAGGGTGAGGCTACCTGTTTGACATGTTTTGGGAAGAAAGAGAAATGAAATAGAGCCAAAAATGTTTTTTATTTAATAATTTTCAGCTTCTTTTAGGGGGAGGGGCATGACCCTCGATGGTCCCCCTCGCTCCACCCTATTACAGTGTCACTCATAAATTCATTATTTGTTACTATATTTCTCCATGGAAGAGAGGGAGGGTTTTGAAATCACATGACATTATGGGGTCAGCTTTGAGAGAAATTGATGTAATAATGATTGGGGAGACTGTTTTAACCATCTTCTTACAGGAAATCAGCTAACTCTGAGTCTAGAAATACCTTCATGAATATTAATACATTTTAATTGTAATTAAGCTAATAAAATATGTATTATGTATTTCTGCAAGAGCAGTAGGCCTGCTTATTCAACAGTCCATTTACGGGTTCTGTAAGCATTCGGTCAGTCATTTCTGGTTAGTTGAATTTCCTTTTGTTCAATTTCCTCCCTCTATAGTGGTGCCTCGACGGTCAGTGTGTGCAGCGCATGCCCCTGCCAGATGCTGTGGATGGCCAGTGGTCAACCTGGGGTGGTCAGTTTGGATCAGCCGAGTTTGGGCCCTGCTCCAGGTCTTGTGGAGGTGGGGTCCGGTCCAGGATGCGCTACTGTGACAATCCTCCGTAAGAGAAAATACTGTTGTTATGCACGTGCTGAGGTTCAGAAAGTGCAACCTGTTAATGGTCAAGTAGCAGAATTAGGATTGAAAGACAAATTAATTTGATTTTATATTCAAGTGAATTTAAATGTAGACATAGAAACCCATATCCAAGCTCATAGAACCCCAGTGCCAAAATACTTAATCGGACCAGAAATGTACAAAGCAACATTGCACAGGACCAACATAATTTAAGATTAATATATTTCTATAAATGACGGGTTATTTCCAAAATGAGATATATTCATTTTTCACATTTATGAAAGATTTTCAGCTGTGCACCATTTGTCCCTAAACTTCTTTTTCACTATTTTGACTCGTTAAAGTTGGGTTTTGCTGTCTTATAGCTGTAGAAACTGACTGCAGGCAACCAAGATGGTGTAGGAATCTGGAAGATACCAAAATGGCACTTATCGCACTTCGGAATTATACTCTTCAAATGTTCTATTTCTTCACAGTTTTTTCCACATAGCTCAAAATAAACAGAACCACTCAAAAGCAAAAAGTCATCTGAAAATTTGAGTATCATTAATAGTTCCATGAAACTGTTCACCTAAAACTACCTTTTTCCAGTCTGATTTATGATTTTTGTTTTGCTTGTTTTTCAGACCCTCCAATGGTGGTCGAGGTTGCGAGGGAACCAACGTTGAGTATATAGTTTGTGAAACCCAGGTAAGAGTTGATCCTTAGAAACTTTTTTAATACAGAAAATCAAAGGGATAACTTTTTATCGTTTCGGTTGATGACAAATGAGCTTGATGCTTTGACAACAACAGTCTAACAAACTACCTGACCTATGCCATCATAAGCCTTCTCGGGAAGAGATCACTGAAACTTGAAGAAGCTATCAAAGGACAACAAACTACAAGACTGTTTCAACCAAGTCAGAACAAAATGCAACAATGAGAAAATGGCATGCAGAAGTATCTCTTAAACTTTGAGCACACAGACAAGTTTTATCATTTATTGTAACACCTAGAGAAAGTAAAAACTTCCCTGGGTTCCACAAAAAGTAAGAAGAATTTAAACTGAGAGTCTATGAATGAGTAGTAGCTGGAAATGAGACAAGAGAAAGTAACGACCATGTATGTGAATTCAGTTTAGTTAAAAATCAGGGCTGTAACATGTCTCTATTGTACTTTGTTTCACTATTGCTCACAGAGTAAACCTTGGCCACATAGCTAATATGTACCAGGGTACAATAAAAATGTTGAGGGAAAAAATAGGTGCAGTCCCTTCAAAAAGTAAAGAATGAGCTAGCAAAATGTCTTGTCTGAGTACTGAGTGTTTATGGGACTAATGAATTGGTGTAATTATTTCTCTTTTTGCCAGCCTTGTGCTACGTCACAAGATGACTTTAGAGATGAGCAGTGCATGGCAACCAATAACACACCACTTAATGGTGTCACTTACAACTGGGTGAAAGGCTTCATAGCTGACCAAACAGGTAAAAAGTTTACAAAATATCTTTAAATTTCTCGGTGTCTCAAAAGTGCTTCGAAGCAAACTTATTCTTTGTCAAGGAGAACCCAGGATTATGGCTAAATTCTCTGACAGACACAAAGACAGATTAAAAAGGCAATCTTCATATGAACTGGGGTAGGATTTAAAGCCAAGGTGGTGCATTTACTGAGTTTTCAAATGAGTTCAGCATAAGAGGAGAATGTCTCCTCCATTCCCATGCCATCTTGTAGTTGTATTTTGGCATGAGATTAGCTCTAATGTTGGTCATGTAAACATTTCCTTCCTCAGTAACAATGATCAAGTTCCCTGGAACTGCTACAGAATTTCCAGAAATTACACATATTATAGCAAAAAGTGCACCAGTCACTCAATATTCTCTTGGCCCAGGCACGGTACCATCAGATTTTGCAAAGAGATGTCCGTACTGGTGAACAGCTATTTTATGGAAATTCTGCCTCGAAACTTGTTGCAGCCATATTGAAATAAACTCCAAGATATACTCTTCAGATCTGAGGAAAGTGCAGGTTATTTCACCATGTGGTATTTGGGGTAACTTGACTTTTTGCTGGAGATGCCTTGAATAAATTGTTGAGTCCATTTCTCATCAGGTGATGAGCTTTGCGACCACAGATGCCTAAGCGAGCAGCGATTCTGGTCTAAGAGGGAGCCCTTCCAGTTTATAGATGGCACCCGGTGTTGGCATGATGAGAAGAATGATGCTGGTAAACTCAAACTGTGTGTCGGAGGTCTATGCAAGGTATGTGGATGTGCCAGACATTGAAAAACATTGATTCTCAAATGAAACTACCAAACATTGTCGGGCTCTGGAGTGGATTACGTGTGTAAAAGTAATATCTCATACTCTTACTGCTTGTGTAGTCTTGTATAAAGCACACTGCATTTTGGTCATTTAATGCAATCCTCTGAAAAGTCATGAAGGACAATATTTGTCTTATCCCTTGCGAAGAAACCTCACCTAAAAGATTTTCTTTTGAAACTGAAAGACTGCTATGAGTCAGTGAATCCCTTTGTGCTCTGTAAAAGAAGAGAGAGAGTCTATACATTCTATATGATAAGAAAAGTTGCAAAGGAAAGGGCAATGTACAGAAAGTGCATTTAATTATAAGGCAAACCATATCATTTTATTAAAATGCATCAAGAACAAGCAACTGAGTGTGCATCGCTATCTGGTTCGTAAATGACTTTGTCGTACACATGGATGTGCCACGTTTTGCAGGCTCCCATTGGACAATTGCTGAAGTTACACGTTAATTTCCGATTCCATGGCATGTAACTTTATGTGCAGCAGATGCACAGTGGGTGTAGTTTAAACTGAAGTAACGTCACACTTACGAGCTTGATAGAAAATTGAGAAAATTATACTTGCAGTGATGGCAAAATGTTCACTAATGTGTGACGTAAATCAATAAGACAAGTGAAATTTCTTGTGTTATTCAAATAGTCATTTGGCTGTGATGGAAGGGAAAATTCAAACGCGGTGTTTGACGTGTGTGGTGTCTGTAATGGTGATGGGTCTTCGTGCTCTCTTGTATCTGATTCCTTCACGGGTGGGACCACAACTGGTAAGTTAACTGCACTAATCACAACTTACTGGTTTTGCCATCTTGCTGGCTTGCTCATACAGAAAGACCTGCTACATTTATGAGCAGGTTGACTGGGCGGATGGTTGGGTAGGGCTGATCAGCCCAGTCTGCTGCAGGGCTTGCTGGACGAGACAAGTTGGTGCAAGTTTTGCTGGCATGCAATAAGCTCAAAGACTCATTTTGGGATGCCAATATCCGTAAAGTTTGGAAGAATGAGAAAAACCCCTCACTCCCTCAATATACTGGGGAGGGGAGAGGTCATTTTGATCACCCTTACCTGTACCCATTGGGACAGAAGAAATGCCTCCCAACAGCCAGTCAGCAGTAGGCCAAATAGGACTGAATAGCAGAGAACAGTAAGTACAAAACGTTCAATGCAAATTTTTGATACAAGGATAAGGCAAGCAATTTCCACAGCTGGGAAATTTTAGGATTTCAGACATCCCCATTAATCATCCATGCACAAACACTGATCTGAGCCACTACCAAATGCTCATTGTGCTGGCCTGTTACCACAGACCTGGCTTTTTGAAATGTGTCAGCCTGTGTCCCTCCTCAATGAGATGCAAGCTGGTCAGGTTGCAAAAGAGTGAATTTTCATGAATCTCATTTTCTTATAGTTGGATTTAAACAAAGAGTCTGGGCTAACTTTGTTACAAGTTATAACAAATGATTTACTGTGAGAGATTTAAAAGGTTTTTAATCTTGATGTTCAGCCTCATCTGTGAATTCTATTCTGTTTGCAGGTTTTAATCACTTCCTAACTTTACCTGTTGGTTCAACCAGAATAGAGATAAGCAATGCCAATTCTGCTTATACTTACATTGGTAAGTTTGCAAATAATGAACAACTCTTCAAATTTGACAATGAATTAAGATCACGACCAAGCTTTTTAGTACTGAGTCTTACCCCAAGAACAGAGATGTGAAAAAAGGTCTGCATAGGATGAGACAACTCTTTTAGGTAAAATGTTCTTTTATCCTGAAAGGGTTACCTTTCTAGGTCTTCTATTTCAATAAAGCTTACTTTAAAAATTCTTGCATGATAGAATTTATGCAATTCAGAAAACATCTGTACAGATTTTTGAAATGATGCTGACTCTATTTGAATGACTTGCTTTTATTAAAAGCCCTGAAAATTGGGAATGAGTATGTACTGCAAGGCTCGGGTAACTACAGGCCATCGACTGGCCGGTACAGTGCGGGAAGCTCGGTGGTCCTCTACGAGAGTGGGAGTAGTATGGAAAAACTGACTATTGCTGGCCCAACCACACAGGAGATTGAGGTGGAGGCATTCTTGTTTCTCAACCCCAATGTCAATTACGTGGGAGGGGTCAATGTGCAACCAGATGTTCAGTATCGATATTATGCACCGAGCGGTTCTGGGAGTGGCCCGCAAGAGTCCTTCCGGTGAGTGGTTTCTGGAGATTAACTTGATCAGAATGTTGGTAAATTTCTGGTGCCATTTTTTGGTTTAAATCATTAAACCTTCAACCAGAACTGAACTGGCAGATGGTTTTCAAACCCAGTCAAGCAATCATATGGCCTCTGTCCCTTCGGAGGACACATTACTACAACAGCCACCCCAGAAATAGACTTTATAGTAATGAGAGGAGGCATGAAAGGAGATTTCTCGTCACGTGTTGGGGGAATGATTTCTGAACGCTCAGCATGGCCTCCATCCCATGTGAGATTGTTATGCAAGTACAGTGGTGCAGGCTAAGGGTGTGCATAGTCAATGACTTGAAAAGTGGGTGCGGGATGATGATATTGGTAATCCCCCCGGTGAAAAAGTGGGGGAGATGTAACCCCCCCATCCCTCTGGGATCTTCACCCATGTGAGGTCGGCAAAGTAACTTATTACCAGTGTACTGCCCAACTTAAACCCATTCTAATAAATTCTGCAAAATAGTTGTTAAATGCCGAGCAAGGTTTACAAGCAAAAATCACAAAATCAAGTACATGTAATATAATATCACGAAGAACTTTTCCATCCATCTGGATCATTTATACATAAATCACTGTAAGTTTGTAACATATAATTTCTTCATTAGCCAAACATTTATAATGACAAAGGTGTACCTTTCTTCTGACATCAAGATCGACATCCTCGCATTTGTCTAGATTGTTGAATTATTCAAAATTTTGGGGTGATTTTTTTTCTTGTAGATGGGTAGGCACTGCCTTTTCCCCTTGTACGGCCACTTGTGGGGGTGGAATGCAGACCCGATCCGTGACGTGCTACCGTACAGTGAATGCCCGGGAGGAGGCCGTTCAGGACGCCCTCTGTCCCCAGCCCAAGCCCACCGAACGCCAGACCTGCAACACTGATACATGCCCCTTTGTGATGCCAGCACGCTGGGAGACAAGTGAATGGTTCCCGGTGAGGATTCTCAAACAGTTAAACAGTTTCCATAAAGCACTTATACCATGCTGGGTCATGCTTGTTACATCCTAATGTCAAGAAGACGGTCCCTTTCTGGAGTGCATATTACAATTGTTGAGGGAATGTTGCAGACTATCACAGATTGTCTGCAACTGTCTTCTGTTATAAGGCCTCATGTAGTGCTCCTACAAGCATCATGAGCAAAGACAGATTTTATCTCGGAATACTTGCATATGGGTTAAATTTGAGCTCCCGTTTGCATCAAGTTTTGCCTCAACAGGATGCTGTTGTTTCTTCACAGTGTTCTGTGACTTGCGGGCAGGGCACGCGCACAAGGATGGTGCGCTGCATACGCGATGGGGTGGAGGCACCGGGAAGTCCCGAGTGTGATCAAGCCAGCAAACCTGCAGAGCAGGAAACCTGCAATGAAGGGGACTGCTCGCCAATGGGTATGGTGCAAGATTTAGAGATCCCCATAATAATGGAGGATTAAATGCGCTTGTGCCGTTGTGGAGCCAGGGTTTTCCTTGCCAACTGCAAACTAGAATGGAGTTACAGAATTAGGCAATACCCCATTCAGTTACCCAATGTTGTTAACATTTTGGCCACACTGCTACCATCCCACTTGGTTTTTGTTGGGATGCTAAATTGACGTGGCTATCTACCGTCACATTTGGGATAAATATTTTCTTTTCGTAGTTGGGTTGTTACAATGGTACTTCACTTACCTTTCCTTTCTGCCACCCAGGTTCAAATCTCATCTCAATTTAGTAAGTGGCTTGGGTTAAAATTTCAGTTTAAACTCAATTTTATCACCATGGAAACTCAAATCATCTTTCCCCTATATTGTGATTAGTTCCTAGTGCCTGTAATGGAGTGACGGCAGAACCGTCGGGCATCTTCTACAATATTGGGCAGGACACCGATGGGGCAAGTTGCTCCCAAATTATAGCTGCCTCCCCAGGGAAGGAGGTTGTCTTGAGGATTGTCAAGCTGGTTATTGACTGTGATTCAGGTAAAATGGAACAATCGGCACTGAAATCAGGTTTCAATTCTGAACTCGGAATGTGTTTGTTTTGTAGTAAGAGCCTTACGTTTGTACAAATATATTCTTGGTGTTGTGAAACTTGTTGGTTAAGTTTTGGCAAAGAGTTGTGCAATAACTAACAGAGACATGCATTTCTTTTTCTACAAATTTCATCTTAAATATTTAATATTATTGGAGTTGCTTAAATTCTAAATTTAATCTAGATTTAGAATTTATTCAATCTCCAGTCACAAACTATCTCTTTGAACTGTGTGAAAGGTGTTCATTTTCACTATTCACACCCTGTTAAATGTGCTTAACTCATGAACCGGAACTTGTGGTAAGCTTGAGATGGACTCGACCACAACTACACCACCAAAACATAGGAAAGTTTCCCTCACAGTGATAGCTTGGGAAGAGATTCAAACAAGAGCACAAATTCAACTGTTTAACATCTAAACTTTTTCCAACATCTAGAGAGCTTCAAGATAAAAGTTGGACTTAGTGAACAGCGCTACTGTGGATACATTACCAACCGGCAGATAACTGTGGGTCACAACATCGTCATTCTTGAACACAAGACATCCATGGTTAATGGTGGCTACCATATCAGCTACAGTCTCGCTGACTCTGCCACGCCCCCAAATCGTAAGTTAAACTTGTTGAAAAAAAAAGACCTTTTGAAAGCATATATATATAGGGACATCGTCCACAAGTTGGTCAGATTGTTTGTATTCCGATTCTGATGTTTTAAATATTTTTGTCGTTTCCAGGCTGTGAATACCTGTGTTCAGTGTAAAGAACTCCATGGGGTTTTGCCATGAACAGAAATAAAAACTTAGCAGCCCAAATTCATATGCAAATTAAATGAAATGTTAATATGTTTTTATATAATTTATGTGAAATTACATAACTTTTCTCCTACGTTGTAATGGCAACCATAATGTTAGTCATTTCAAGGCTGGTTCATACTGTGCATGAAAGTGACTTGGAAAGCAATTTGTGACAAATTATGCATGAACACACTGCAAATTTACACAACTTGAACACATTCCAAATTTGCTGCAAATACTGACAATGTCAAATTTGCTTTTGTCATTGCAGTATGAACACTGATGTTTATATGCTTTAGTTTAGATCGATCATCACAGGGAAAACTTCAAATGGACTAAAATGCTGGAAGTGAAATTGTCAGCGTTATTCTGTTTTCTTGTCCACCAATCAGCATGTGATAGAGTTCTGACAGTGGCAAGTGGTCGCATCACTAGCCCCAATTGGCCCAATCCCTACGGACCCAACCAGATGTGTACCACCACCGTCGTGGTCAAGCCAGGCAAGAAGATCCGTGTCACCTTCCAGAAGTTTTTCCTGGACAGCAAGGAGCCATTTTGCGGCAAGGACTATGTAGTGGTAAGGACGAGAAAGGATTTTTGGCAAAGGGTAGCAAAGTACTGATCAGAGGTGAAATGTTATCTTCCAAAAGGAAACAAAATCCTCCAGTGATGTGTCATCTTTGTTGGAAGTATAGTAAGCCTACTGCAAATCATATATTTTGCCTTTGAAAAAACCTTGAATGAGCATTGATAGTGTGACGCATGTCTTGGAGACATCATAATGAAATTAGTGCAACAAATGCCAGGGATATTGGGATTCTTGGTTTTAAAAGTAAACAGGAGCCCCTTTTCTCTATCAGCCCCAGGCCAGATTGATCAAAGGTTTCTGATAGGGAACACACAGCTCTCAATTATTTTAGACCAGTGAGCAATTAGAAAATTAATAAATCATACATAAACATATAACGTAAACCATATGTGACCAAATGTACAGTGCGATTCTAAAGTCTTGTTTGTCATACAAAGTGGTACAATGGTAATGCCAACCTATAAAGTTATTTTATTATTATAGATTTTCAACCATTTTCTTACCTGCTGCTTTACTTTGGTCATTTTCTTTTCTGTCAACAAAACAACAGATCACCGACAACAATGCTCGGATGGACAGCCCGGTTTTCTACTGTGGGACCAAGTCTCGGTTCACGTTCCGCTCCAGGAGCAATATGATCGCCATCACCTTCCGCTCAGACTCAGCTCAGGAGCTGAAAGGATTCAAAGCTGCCCTGCGCCAAATCAATTAGACTAAGGAAAATTTGAATCATTTATTTATTTCTCTCAGCGTGAATCTATTTGTCAGGTCTAAAAGCATTACACGATAATAACTACAATAATATATTATAATAATATGACTTATTTATATAGTGTCCTCCAGTACTGTCGGACTCTCAATGCACGTGCCACTATATTATCCCTTCTCACTGGGTCTATACACATTTCTAAATTGAACCATATCGACTAAACTCCCTAGGGAGTATAGGCCTATACGACCATGACCTTGGTGCAATCATTTCAGGTGCTTCCAGGGTTTACCAACTACAATTACCTCCTCCACCCTCAAAGGGGGTGGAGAGAGGCAAGTGAAAGGAAAGCTATTTGTCTAAGCTCGCAATGTATGCCATGCTCCATCACAGGATTCCAACCCCAACCCTATGATAGGGACTCACAAACCCTAACCA